ACAAAATCTCTGAAAGGTTTCGGCAGTCGGCGCTCCTCGACCAAATCACGTACAATTGCCCGTTTATCGTCCTCAGAAGCACTGAGGAGAGCGTTGAAGTGCTGCAACGTGAACATTGGTAGGCATGCCTTGTGTGTGGCGAATGCAGCTATAAGTGCGGAATATACGCTGCCTTGCTCCGAGGTACATATCCTTGCGGTGTACGCGGAACCTGAGCGAAATTTCAACGATGCGTGATAACGGAATCGCCGTTTGGCTGTAACATATTAGATCTCCTATTTACATAGGCGTGTGTTATTTTTTAGCTTACTCGTTAGTCCATGATCCATGTACAATATTGCGATTGTGTTGAGCAGTCGTTTCGTTTTGTCATCGAGGCACTTAATGGGTTTTGCGCATATACTATTCGCAAGAAAGTCGATGATTGGGGCGTCCGTTTCCAGTGTTGAGATACTTGCCCCCGAGTTCCAGCGAAGCATAATCGCCAGACACTGCCCCAACACCTTTTCATATGCTTCAGGGCTCCTATGATCGTGTGTTGCGTTTATGACAGCCAAGGATGCCGTCATAACATCCTGCACGTGGATGTATACTTATTGATCTATCTTACCGCCACATTGGCATCTGGAGGCATGATGTCTTGAACTTTGTTTACTAGTGGCGTGACGTCAGCCATACCATCCCTGATGGCTTGCAAAAACACTTTACGGGTCGTTTCCCCTGGCAACTCTCCCATGAGTAAAAGGTGAGCGACATCTGTGAAGGTGCTATTTGCCGAGAGCTCTCTCAGCGAGTATCCTCGGTAGTAGAGATCTGTTTTCATGTTTTTTTTATAGAAGGTCGTATATCTCACCTGTATTGATGCACGGCGAGTATATTTCAGTCTCCACAGCAACTATTTTTTGGTGTCTTTGCTTCATTGCGGACCCCTTTGCGGTGGACATGGCCCTTGCGAACAAGCTTGCACCCCTCATGTTTGTGCTTTCTGTGCACTTTAGATCCTTTTTACACGTTTTGTGTTAGACTGTACCCATTTTATTGAACCTCAAGGGGTGTTATACCGATTTGTCCTGGTTTTAAACACCAGTCGACGCCACACATTGGTCGGTGTGTTCAGCTTCATCGAACTTTGGGGTCTGCTGCGCCTTCATTCCTCTTGTCTTTCAGTATTTTTACAAAATGCAGGATTGTTAATGCCTGTTTGCGCGTGATGTGCAAGTTTGCACCGTTATCGTTACTACTTGTTCTCTGCTGTACCTTCCGAGTTACATTCTGCTTCCAGCATCACCGGTGGCAGCGTTTGCCGCCACGACTTCGGTATCTATACACCCACGCCCACAATAAATATTCGAAACGTCGTAATTGGGGTCCCTTGGTGCCTGGCCGCGAGCCTACGGAAGGGGAGTTCAACGAGTTTTTGGACAGCGTCTTTTCCAACCCTGTTTACGAACCTCGTGAGTCCAAAGCGGGCCCACAGAGCCAATATAAGGCTACAAAGAACGAGAATGTTCTGAAGGACTTGGGTAGCAAGAACTATCAGGGCGTGCTGGACGAGATCCGAACCGAGGTGGCCGTGCGCGTGCGTCGCGATAAGGAAAAACAACAGAATGAACCAGCTTCATCAGACACCGGAACTACTCCTTCCACCACTGACGCCGACTTTCCTGACCTCACCACGAAGCTCAAAAATGTTACCGCTAACAACTTTCCTACGGTGAGGGTTTTGGATTCCAAATACTTTGTCGAGGGTTAGTTTCTTATAAGTTACAAAGTTTGATAACATATTCATTACAGGTCTAAAGTTTCGTAGTTTGGGTGACAGTGGATTGGTTGTAAGTGAATTGGGAATTGGCACTTCTATGTATGACAATCCCGAACTGATTGACCATGACCATGCCGTTGAGATTCTAGAGACAGCTCACAAACGTTATGGTCTGAATTTTTTCGTGAGTTGCGTGTTGATTATATTTTCACATTGTTCAGGATACTTGCGAGTATGATCCGTACCCTTACGAACCCAGGAGCTACCTCGAAGGCCAGCACCGCAGCATGCGAACTTTTTTGAGGCGTGTTCGTCGAGAGGATGTAGTTATCAGTGGCCGGATATCTTCTAGCAATTTGGGCAAGTTTCGTACGTCTGGCCGTTTCCTGTCTTGGGTACGAAACAACATTTCTTCACCACCCAGTTTGTGAGTCTTTACTCAGTTGTGTAGCCTATATACTGAACCAGGCCAGTCATAGAGGGTGCAATCGACCGCTTGTTGAGTAGGTTGGGAACCGATTACTTGGATATCCTCTCGTTTGTGCACCCGTATCGTTACGTGCCCAATGCTCACCTAGGTGAAGACACCTACTGTTGGGGATACGAGCGTGACGTTTTCACGGGTACAGCTCCCGAGAGTCCGAATGAACCGGGATACGATGCTGAAGAGCTTTTGTCGGCTCAGTGCGAGATTTTCGAGCGTTTGGTTGCTAAGGGGAAAGTGCGTGCTATCGGCATGTCTAACGAGACTGTTTGGGGGTTATTCCAACTTACTCAGAAGGCAGGTCGCCAATTTCCGGTAGCTTGTACCCAGCAGATGTACAATTTACTTCACCGCAACGAATTAGAATCTAGCGGTAAGTGTTGCTATACTGTTCATCATAACCATCAGGTATGTCGGAAGCTGTGCTTAAGGAGCATTTGAATTGTCCCGTTGTGGCATACGGCGTTCTTGCTGGTGGTATTCTCACCGGTAAGTACCTCGACCCAGAAAGGTAGGTATTGAATTAATGCCGTATATTTTTGAAAGGCACAATCCCATGGGAGCGGACAAGACTAAGGAGCGAACCACTCTGGCGGACAGTAATGACTATCCTGGGGATTGTTAGTTGCTATACCTCTTATTGTTTTTCATTGAATTATCAGTCGAAATCCCTGAGGACTATGGTCACCTCAGTTACGGGCCTGCCAATGCTCGCTGCAACTTGTTCCCCGACACTTTCCACACTCACAGGTTTGTAGTCTTAACAGCCGAACCTCATTGCGTTTCACAGGACTGTTTGGTGTCAACATGCAACTGCCGAGTACTTGAAGGTTGCACGAACGCACGGTATGACGCTGGCGCAGTTGAGCCTGTCTTGGGTGCTTAGCAGACCCTTTGTAGGTTTGACTTGGTCTAAAAAACACAAAACTTCAGATTGCCTCGACTTTAGCAGCTCCTCGTAGTATTGGTCAGTTGCACGAGACCATAGCTGCTCTGAACTACCCACTTACTCGGGAGGTGGAGGAAGACGTCCATGAGTTGTATCTGCGCTATCGAGCACCTACTATGGGCGGCCCTCAGCTTCTTACACGTTTAAGTGATGACTTTTCTGTGCCCATGTCTCAGAACGAGCGTATGCGCAAGGGTACAGTGCCGATATGGAGCGGTGGCAGATACTGGGACATGGATTCAATACCTTCTCTTGAGCGTATAGCAGAGGAGCGTAGCCACGATGCGGATTACATCGAAACTGCTTCTTTGTTTGGACTTCTGGACAAACCTAACGACCGCTGCTGGTCTAACTATAGGTGTTGGGTTGAGCGTACTAACGAGGGTCTGCCTGGTGAGTTGTGCCTCCCTTTAATGTCAATGTTTTCAGGGGAGTATTTCGCTGTTAAGGAGAGCAAGTTATTTGGTTGGGATATAATGAAGTTGGACGAATTCACCTTAGTGCCTAAGACTCCGGAGGAAGTTGCTAATGATGACACAAGTGACTTCCACTTTTACTGGAAAGATGGTCAGGTATGTTTTTACGGTAATGTGGATGACCATCATCTCAGGTATATGTGGGTCCCACTACCAATGCTATCCGAGAGTTTTACGAAGACGATGAAGCCGTCAGTAACGTGATGCAAGAGCGTGAGGAGGGTTTTCGTCGCGGCCTCGGCTTGGAAAAGCTGCCCGAGGGATTTCGCGCATGGTCACCTCTCGATGCGGATTTGGTTTTCAAACGTTTACGAGAGAAGTTTGGTATTGATATACTGGCTCCTGGTGCGCTTGAGCGTCTGCTGCGTGACAGCGGTCGCGAGGTGGTTGCGTTGTCTGCGGATGAGCGCCGGTGCGCAAAGTTTGCACACTTTGAGGACCGTAAACACCTATTGGGTGAGAACATTACCGCCCACTAGGCTATGAAATAGTTATCTATGGAGCTGTTAGTTCTATAACTTACTTCGTTCCGTGGATGCGACACCTTGTGATCGCATGACATCGATCAGTTATGGATTACTGCCATGTGACTTAATATGTATTTATTGTTGTTTCCGTGCTACATGTCTATGATTTTGACTCGTAAACATCGTCCAATTGTTGGTACTTCCTTGGGGTTCAAAGTTATTTTCTAACATTTGGATTGACTCCGGTTAGCATCGTGGATATTTTACTTTGTCAATATCTGCAGTGTCTTCGTAGCGTTGCTGTTCCACCAATTACGGCATCAATCTTCCTCCGATTTCTCCTCGTCTTCCACTTCATCTTCCGTTTCTTCCGTACTCCTAATGATTAGCAGGTCCGCTCCTACTCTGACCTTGCATCCTGAGGATCATGTGCGAGCTATATAGAGGGTTTACCTTCGTTTCCTACATTCTCAACAACTATTCCAGCAAACTGTGACTGGACTTTTACTAGTACCTGCATGGCTATTCTTCAACTGTGTTTTGTGTTATTTACCTGTTCTGTCTCTATGACACATATAAGTTCTCCAACATCTACATGGTCGCCTTTCTGCTTATACCATTGCTGTATCTTTCCTTGTGTGATTCCATTTCCTATATGTGGGACCTTGACTATGAAAAGTGTTCCACAATCGAGTGGCGAGCGTGTCGTCTGAACCTTTGGTTCGATTAACCCCTTCGCGTCTACTGTCGAGTGTGTTCTCAATGTTACATCCGATGTAACTGCGATATCATGCGGTGTCGTAGGTGGCGAGATCCCTCGTCCCAGTACGGTGAACTGGCGAAGAGCTTGCCGGCGTAGAGCCGTCGACACCCCCGAGAGCATTGCCGGTGTAAACCGGGAAGCAATAGTTTTATACATTATGCTACGTTAGTGTGTATCATTTTCTTTGCAACTGGTCTTATGGTTGCTTCTCCACCCGTCACCAGTCCGTATTGGAGTGTCGCTGACACACTCTGTACGCCTTGTATTATCGTTGTCCTTGTCCTTCATCACACATCTTTAATGGTATAAAGCTCTTTCAATTTATCCATGAGTTGTATATAGAAGGATAGCGTTTTGAAGTGCGTTATAATGGCATTTTTATCCTGTTAACTTTGATCATTCGTGTTAGGGTAACTACTTACATCGTTTTCAAATGCATCTTCCAGTGATTTCACAGCACTTAGGATCGTCTTTTCCAGCTGTTGCTGCATCATTTTAGCTTCTGAGGAATCCTTGAGTGAAGCTATTTGTTCGTGCATCTGTATGTCGTTTTAGAACTGTGTTTATATCATACACACCTCCATAATTTGTTCCAACTGAGCCGGTTCAGATGTTTCCATTGCACGGTTGAACTCCTGTGTAACTTTTAAATTCACCTTGATATAGTTTTACCTCCTCTCCGTATTTGATACAGAAGCACAGCTTGGCTCGGCCTTTGTCATCCAGAAGAGTGCGATAGTGATTATTTACAATGCTTGAGTTTGTATTTATAATTTGTAGTTCTTCGTCCTGCTTCGCTGCGTGTCTATCTGGGTGTAGTATGAATTGGTAGCTCTTATACTGCTTGTTGAGTTGTGCTCTGTCGATTTTGTAGTTTATGGGCCTGCACGTCTGCTATTTGCACACTTTACTACGCACATACAGTTTAAAAATTTCGAAGGGGTTGAACGGTGTAAGCTGGCTGGATTCCACTGGCCAGCTGCATACCTGGCGTACACATTATGTGTTCAGAGCTTGTTCTCACCCTGCAGAAGAAGCAGAGAGCATCGCATGAACCCATCGCTGCTCCACATTTACGGCATTGATTTGGCTGTTTGGTTGTAGAGAACTGTCTGCTAATGTGTGTTCTATACACGGTGCGATATCCATTCAGGTGTGTCGTGAATTTGGCCATTCGCCACATCTTGCTTCTAAGCTGGTTTTAATGGTATTACAGTTTGTTTATCAGCTGATATTTTAGCTGAGTCTGGCAATTGTGTGGCTTCGGTCGTGTCTTGTTTCGGTTCGAGGTCGAGCTGTAGAATTGGGCATTTCAGTCTCTGCATAATTGTTGAATACACACCAAACCTTTGTCTTACGTTGTTTTTAATCATATAGTTGCGATCTTCCTCGGACAGCATTTCATCAATAATCCAATCCGGTATCATTTTTTCTACTTCATTACGCATCTGCATGATCGCTTCCACGAAATGCGGCTGAGTATCCTTCAGGTCATCCCTGCAAGATTTGTGGTACTTGTGACTGCTACATTACCTTTCCTCTGGCGGGTTACGCAGTAAAGAGTTGCTTGCTGACAAAATGAGGTCTTTGAAGGCCTTCCAGTCCGATCTCGGCATGGTTGCAAGTATGAACTCTAGCATATAGCTGCGCACCCCTGGATCCTCGAATGAGGCGATATTGGTGATGAAGTATAGGTCTTCTGCCATATCTGCTTTCGCGATTGCATAGATTGCCCGTTGTATAACCGTGAGCACACATAGCCATGGTTGGTCATGAGGTTTTGCTGCCCCTGTCTCCAACGTTTGATCTCCGTATTCTTCCCTGCGCGCATTGACGTTCACCATAGTTGGCATCTTACTTTATTCGTTGTACTTCCTTTGATATTGCTAGGTTGAGATAGCATATAAAGTTCGTGTCGTATTGGTGCTTGTTCTTCATGATCAGGTCGTTCAAGTTTTCGAATTCGTCGCGTGCCCAGAGTATAATCTGTTTAATTTTCCCTAGTTGTATCTTTTCATCTTGTAGAAGGTATATGCGTTGGTCCTTGTAGAGGCTAAGGACGAATTCGTTAAGGAAGGTCAGCCTCTGTTTTTCGTGGCTCCCTTCCACTTTATTGAAGCATAGATAACTCCGCATGAGCGTCGGATAATCTTCCGATAGGAGCAGATCTCTGTTTCTAATTTACGTTAATCATTACTATTCACTTGCCTGTAGTTGTTGCATATTGTAGGACACTTGTCTGGAGATGCTTCCAGCAATTCCGTGATGAGCAGTTTGAGTCGTTTCTCCTGCACGCTTTATAAAACGCAGCTAGAGGTGCAGTGACTAACGTTAGACTTCCACCGTCGTCTAAGCCGGTCTTTCTGTACGCTCGATATAGTTTCATACTTCCTGGCAAGCATGCTCTTTTCTGGGAAGGTCATGGCGATGTCGAACGTATCCTTTTCAGTCGTTTTGTGTGTTCCCATTGCTATTTCTTCGACTGATGGTGTAGCCTCGTCGAGTTCTGATACCGATTTTATCTGACTAAAGGTTTTTTGTTTTTCAGCCAACATTATGTTTTCCTTTTCGATCCTTTCGTCTGCTTTTCTGCGGCATGTTTTGAATGCAATGTTTTCAGACAACCTACTGCATGAGTTGGTCGTATTCTACGTCAGTCAGCGCCAACGACTTTCTGACGTTCTCGACTAGATACTTAATGGTTTCCTCTGGTTGAGGTTTTTGCGTGCGTTTTACAGCTTCTGTGAGCTGGTTGATAAGTATTTTTTTCTTCTGTTCATTTTCCTGTTTATAATATTGACTATAGTTTGTTGATGTTCTTTTACCTTCTGTGAGACATCTGGTCCATCGTCCGTTTTGTTCCAATCGATTGTGAGTCCCGTTACTTCATCCCTAAAGACTTTATTGGGGTCGGGTTGGGTTTTTGAACCCTGAGCGAGTTCTCTTAATTCCTCGTGGTATTTGATGTAACCGTCCAAATTGTCAGCATCGAGATATGCTGTGCTTCCCATATAGTCAAAACCCTCTGTTTGCTGTTCCCTGTTCTTCATTAGTCCGTCAAGCCTGTGCACATCCTTTTCGAATGTCTTTATGAGTGTTCTGAGTGCTGTGATAACATTTTCGGCCTGTTTTTGTCCCATTTCTCCCGATATTATGCGTGTGGTAGGGCTGTTTACAAATGTTATTTGTGCTCCTTCAGACGTATTTTTGGTATCTGCGGATCTCATAGGTGTAACTATGACGTCTAGATACTCGTCAATGTCAGGTCTATCTGTTTCGTATACTATTTTACCTCCTGTAGATTCCGGTATGAATGATATATTGATGGTTAGTTTTGGTTTCCCGAAAGGTATATTATCTGTACTATCTCGGCTCATCCACCTTTTGAGTATTTCTTCAAGCTGTTTTGCATCTACGGTGGGAAATGCTGTTCGCCAGAATATTGCTTTTGGCTCTAGGCTTTGTGCCTTGGTATGGCCAACATCATGATGCGTGATTGGTTCATACGTTTGCTGTTGCACTTTTTCGTTGAGTAATACTCCAAACCATTGCCCTTCTTCCTTTTCTGCCTTTCTGATCGTTATTATAAGCTGTCGCATCCCTTTATCCTCTTCTAGTGTCCAGAAGCTCCCATCCACGTCTATTGCCCCCTTTAGATGATTAGTTTCATTCGCATAGAGTTTCACATCAAAACCGAGACATTTCAGCTACTAGCAACAAGGTACGAAGATTAACAATGCAGCGTTGAACTGTAAGGTGGCCTCTGGTCAACGCCTTACTGGCTTTGCTATTGCGGGTAGCGGTAACCATTGTGGCCAAGATATCAAAGTAGTTGTGTATTTAATTAGACATGAAACCTATATAATTGTTTCCTACCTTTGTGTTGCCGCTTAAAATGGGTATTACGGGTTTCTTTTTATTGATGGCGTGTATTGCGTTGCTTTTAATATCGACATCAATGTCATCTGCCGTAACTGTGGGTCCCACAACTGTGTATACATATACGTTGCGTTCATCCTCGTTCCACGTATATCGTTCTGTTCTTCCCCATCCAGCGCACAATGGACTAATTTTCACGTTATGTGACTGCGGTGAGGACATTGAGAGGAAGGTTGGGTACCGTTGCTGGTATAAGGTTTGGTTCGACCTTCCATCCCTGTATTGCGATTTCTCAGCTCCATTGTGCCACAGTGGCCTTCTTTGAGTGCTGCAAGTTAGCGTGGCTAGGAGCGCCGCGGCGAGTTTCTGGTTCATTTAACTTAGGGATTTATCTCATCATGTATGTCTTCTAGCGGCGTCTATTGCATTAGAATTGTAATGTGCGAAGATCTATAATGTATTAAGTGAAAAATTTGTGAATTATGGCTCTAGTTGTATATCAGCGTGGCTAGGTGTGTCTGTTGTTGTGTTGTTTCTGATGTCGTTTTGTTGCTTTGTATGTCCACTAGAAATAGTTAATATCCTTTATTTTTCATCATTTATATTTATATATGGACCATTGTATCAAATATGGCGCATTTATTTTTGTGTGTGTACGTTTGTCTATTGTACGTTGGTTCTTGCCACGGCTCCGGTGCCGTTGGTTCGGCGTCTTCTGGTAGTCCAATGGTTGAGATACCAGAAGCTTTACCTCCTGAGGAGCTTGGTAAGTCGTTATTTTATGTGTCAAAATGTTGCACACTTGATGTCTTTTGTTCCTTGTTTCTTGGCTAGCGTCTAACCATTAGTGCAGATCGCGCCAAAGCAGCGGAATCTAACGAGAAGAAGATCCACTTGGGTGTAGAAAACCAGGAAAGGATGCTTGATACGATTGCGGAGGAGGCGGCAGGTATGAAGGGCACATATACGCATGTCTATGTTACACTTGTGTCTGGTTAATTTCAGATTTCACATTTTGCAGCACTCCAAGACAATCCTAACGATGATATGAGGTACTATTGTCTGCTATACCTTCATCATGGTTCGCAGAGCAGTCCCGTTGAGCCATTTGGATTTAGATGATCTAATAATATTTTCTGGTAAGTTCGTTTTGTGTATTGTTTTGCAAGTTGTTTTTAGAAGCTAGTATGGACGAATTGGAGGCTCCAGTAATTTATCTGACTCCTCCTGTGGTATTACCGGATGAACAGATGGAGGTAAATTGCTTTATGTTATCTTAATCTTCATATTCGCTGCAGGCTGATACTGAAGTAGAGAAGATACTGATTGATACCGGTCTCGAGAAGAAGCCAGAGCGTGTTGACCCTTTCCGGGTGCGTTTTTGGATCATTTTTCCAACATGTTTCAGCTGACATCGCTTAATGAGGTGAATACTGCTCTTAAGATGTGCAAGAGTGCCATTGACAGTTTGCGTCAGAAGCGTAACTCATTGATGAAAAAGTATTGTTTATTACCGCGCTTTTAAAGATTATTTCAGTATTCGTGAGAGCGCTGCCCAGATGGCCACCGACCACTCCAAGCATGCGACCTACAAGGCTCAAAATCAAGGTATTTTGAGGGATTGCTATCCATTTCACGTTTTGTTTAGAGTTGTTGGAGGTTGAAAAACATTTAGATGATGAGTTGGCTCGTCTGTTAAAGTTAGAGCATGTGAAGAAGTCTCTTGCTAAAGTATGTTTCGCCGTTGTTGCGTTACAGCCAATTTACCACACAGAAGCACGGAGCAGGCCACGACGTAGAGGACGCAGAGGAAGAGCTCGAAGAACGAGAATCGGAGCTTGCTGAAGCGAGTGTCGAGGAGGAGGACGACGCTGTCGAAAATGACGACGTTATGGATGACGACTCTGATTCTGTGTCCCAGGAAGATGAGCTCTAGTTATTTTAAATCGCGTTTAACATTTATTTCATCAATGGTCTTTAGTTATTTTAGAGTTTTTCGATTGTTTCTTTCACCTGATGTGTTGCCTTCCATGCGTGTGCCTACCTCCGGACTTGGGAGATGGTACTGCACATTAAGTTTAAACACTCCTTACCTGCCTCGAATATACATTTATAAGCAGAATGATCCATATAGACACGTGCAATAGCGTTGCCTTGGTTTCTTTAGGTGTGTCGCTAGTTTTATGAGCATGGGCTCGTGTCTTCATGCGGAGCTGCTATGTGCGTTCCGCGTGCGTTTTGAGTCGGTCGTTAATGCTTCTGATCTACAAAACAGCCGCGTATCTTTTATTGAGGGGTCAGAGTCGTATACAACTTCAGAGTTGTATCGCTTCTTTGACCTGTCTAATATCGATGTTTCTTGCGCTAGTAGCGTGAGAGAGTTACTGGACCGCGATTTCGTGGAAAGCATTAGGCTACTAGACTCGACTCCTCCTGAGAATGTACGTCTATCAGCATTGTATCCGTTGCTCCGACGCATTCTGATTCTAACTGAGGGTTACCTTCGCCAAGTGAGTAGCGGTTCTCGATTTGAAGGCAGCGTGGCACAAGGTTATTCTTCCTCGTTTCTGGACTTACCTTTGTACACTATTTTGGACGATGTGTACGGTAAGGTTTGTGGCCATGCGATGCAGCGCGAAAAGATGCTGTCTGGATTGTCCAGTATATCCTCTTTGGGTTCTAGCAATTTGGAGAACGTGCTTGTAGGCGCGAGTACTTTAGCTAACTTGTTAGTGCCTATAATAGCGCATGCTTTTGAGAACTCTGTTGCTGACGAATTGGAGTCAACATTGGCTGTATTTACTTTCGGTGCTCTTCAGCGGATATCTGCCCTGTTTCTTTTGCTGGTAGTGGTTGACCAGAGTATTAATCCTTCTGATGGTGTCGCACCTGAGAGTAAAGATGAACGTATTATAGTCCTTTCTGGTGATTTGATTTCCAATGAGAACATGAAGCATTTAGAGTTTTTGTGCACCGAGACGTTGCAAAAGGCTTTGATGACCAAGGTTACAGATCATTATTTGGCAGTGTCATGGCAAGAGGATGTAGTCTTACCAGTTTTACGTATGTTAGAGAGTGCTTTTCTTTCTTGCGGTAAACTTGTTATTCGTCGTGAGTCCCTCGCTGACCTGGTCCTAACGACTACTGTGATGTTTGTGTCTAAGATTCCTAACGACTGTCCTCCTTCTCGAAGCACTGTGGAGCTTATATTAGTCTTGGGTCGTAAGTTTTTGGGTATGTTTTCGCAAGGCACTGAACAAGTAAACGTTGCACTATGGTCCCACTTCAATGCCCGTCTATCGCATGTATTGAAGGTTCAGCATGATAAGGAAGCTGATAAGTCTGCTATTGTTGAATCCTCCTCTAATACGCCTACCGACCAAGGTCCAGGTAAATTGGGCTTGATCTCCACGGGGTCTACGTCATCGGCATCGCAAGGAAGTTCCAATGCGTCATCTCCGCGTCCGGTATCACTTAGCGTGAGCGCTTTGGTTGGCGAGGGTGAGTTGAAGAGCGTATTGATTGCGTTTGTGGCATCTTTGAAATACTATGAGCGTCATGTTCCGGATCTTTTTGATATCCTGTTTGGTGCTTATAGGCGTAAGACCGACGTGGAGATCGTAGACTGCCTGTCACGTCTTTATGTTCAATTCTCTAGTCTGGTTCAACTTGTGGATTCGTTATTTTACATTACCCGGCGTTCTCCAAATAGAGAGCTTCGCGGATTATTTGATCAAGCGATTGGTTCTCTGTGGTCTATAATCCAATTATTAGGCAGCCGGTTACCATTTGAAGTGTTGAAAGCATGTTTTTACGACTTGGGTAGCGATTTTCATTCTTGTAATATCGCTGCACAGATATGTTGTTTTAAATCACTTCCTTGGGATATATCTGTTCTTCGTGCATGTTATGAAGAGCAAAATGCAGTTTACAATTTTCGTGTGGATATGTTACGTGTTCTTTTGCGTAACTCTTCACGGTCTTGTTCGTTTTGTATATCCTACGGTTTAAAAAGGCCTAGGAATATCAGGAGCGCCTATTTGACCATATCGTCTGTTTTTATATCTCGTTGGTTTGTGACAGAGCTTCTGTTTTGTGACATTTATGAGAACTACGGGTGTGTTTCCTTTGCATAACACGTATAATTATTGTTCAGGTTGATAGATGCTTTCGTTGAGTGGTGTCACAGCGATCGATTGGAAGAGTACATGTTATCTCGGTTCCTTTGTCGTACTATCGTTCGGTGGGTGATTGGTTTAGTTGTTTAACTGCGTTATAGGTTGTCGAAAGAAGACGAGTCGTTTGTGGATAGTGCACGTTATCTGCTGGATATATTATTGGGAGTGTGTATGCATCATGAGCCTATATCTGAGGGTATGCTTGGCGTCCTTCGTCCACTTGACCCCGGTCGCGTGAATGCGTTTGGTTGTCTTGGGGTGGTGTTTAGTAGCGGGTTGTTCACGGAATGGTTGATGCGTCATATAATTATGCCATCTACTTGTGCCTTCGTGAAGAATGTTAAAGAACATCTTTCTGTTTTTTTAGGCCCTGATGCGGAACCATGGTCATACGAGTGTTACTTTGTGGTTGATGGTTCTGGGTGTGAATGTTCATCTGCCTGTATAGTTGGCAGCTCTCAAGGTATCTTACCATATCTGGAATTGTTATCTGTTATCCCTAGTGCATGTTATGACATTGAAGGTTCTGATGCGTTATCACGGATGTTCCGTCACATGCTTGATGTGCTTTGTAGCCTCGTCGTGACCTTTGTGCAGGTGCTCACCGACCGGAAAGATTGTGGCGATATCCTTTTGCGTTATAGTCTTTTTGTGCTTTCAGTACGTCTTGCAAGGGTATTGGTGTGTATTGGTAAGTTTGGTCGCAAGGACGTGGAGGTTGTGTCTCTGTTAAAATTATTTTCTCTATTAGGCAACCCTCAAGTATGTGTGATCGACGATGCGCACAGTTATTTGTGTGTGATATCGGATGCTATATGTATATTTCACTGGATATTTGAGCATGTGCCTGTGAAGGAGCAGTTACTCAAGTTGCACCGTGGTTTTTTGACAGTGTTATTGTCAAAGATGGGTCGTTTTCCTCTCTTTCTGCTTCGCCACGGTATGTCATTTGATTCTCTTCTATTTTGTTAATTATGTTTCAGAGCTTTATAATAACGTGCCTCGTGCTATGTTTGAGCAGTTGAGTGGTTATTTTTCAAGTATTTTAGAGAAGTCACGTTCCCTTGGTCTGTACTATGGTACTCTGTATAGTTTGAGCATTTGGAATGCTTTGCGTCGATACGGTATAGAGCGTGTTGATTTGAGTGAGGCTTACGTTGATCGTGGACTTTGTTCTTCCGGTTCATCTACTGATTTGCGTATAACGGTGAACATCGCGTTTCTTACATTTTGCCGTTTATCTGGAGTTTCACTGATGTCTTGCAGTGTTACTTTAGTTTCTGAGTGTAGCTGTGTTGGTCGTTACAGTAAAATTTAATATTTTTGTGGTGTATATATTGTCTGGTACCTGTTTAGATGTTGTCTGGTTATGTTTTATAAGCCTTCTTTTCTCCTTGTGTATTGTTTTTGTCGTGTTATTTTGCAACTATTTTTCTGATTAATGTCGCGATGTCCACCGGCATCACGGGAAGTTTCCCGTTGAGGTGTGCAAGTCCCCCGTCTATTTCTGACGCTGATTTTTCACCTTCTATATCGCACTTGGGTTATATTATTCCTTTTCGTCATGTTTTATGCAAATTTGGGAGATTTTTTGGCGTTTTTTGTGTGTTTGTGTATACACTAATACTTGGCATTTCTCCCGTGTCTTCGCTACGCGTATCACATTGTGTTACTACACCATGTTCCTGGTCTTTCATCGGTTCTACACAAGTTCGACCTCCTCCTTTGTTCGGCTGCAGGTCTTCTTGCGAGTTACGGGCTTCTAAGGTTGATGACATCCTCGCAGAGCTGAAGACCCTGACGCTGTTGGAGACATCTGAGCTCGTTAAAAAGATCGAGGAGACCTTTGGTGTATCTGCTAGCATGGCAGTAAGTGCTGCTCCGGCTGCTTCTGGTGTTCCTGCAATAGCTGCTGCGGTCGCTGAAGATGATGACGAGGAAGAGAAGCCTCGTAAGACGTCTTTTGAGGTTGTTTTATTAGAGCGTCCTGAGGAGCAGAGTGTGCGTATGGCGTTGTTCCGCGTTTTACGTAAGGTGATGCCGGACAAGCCTTTGACTGAGGTCAAGGCTGCTATTGACAACGCTCCCACCACTCTTAAGGTTGTCGGTCGTGAGGAGGAGGCTAAGGAGGCGCTTAAGATAATCGAGGGTGCTGGTGGCAAGGGTGAAATTCGTTAATCGATGGATACCAGCACCTGTCTGTTGTGATGAGGCCGTTACATTAGGCTAGGGCGTCCGTGTACAATGACCTTTGTCCATCAGCTACGTATTTCGCATTGCCTACATTATTTTTTTAGTGTCTGGGACACAATGTAATGATATTATTCCTTATTTTCTTGGTTTCATGGAATAGACTACGATATAACATGTATAGACCATCGATTTATGAATGTTCAAGTGTATATAATTAACACTTTTTGTTTTGTTCGGCGATTTTTCCATCTAATGATGGGAGTTCAATTGAGTAGTGGCGCTGTTGCTGCCTGTTGTGCTTGAAAGATCTGTTGTTGCATTTCTAGTAGCTGGCACTCCTTGTCGTAGTGGAATATGACCGGCCCTACCAAAGTGACGGCTGATGTTCCTGCGATCCATAGTACCCATCCGATGAACGATACGGTGCGTTTCGTGAACCTGACTATAGACCTTTTCAGTGCTGCGATTCTACGTTTGACCTTTACTAGGAAGGCTGGTTTCTTCTTTACGTCGGATATCATTTTGTTAGTTATTTTTGGGGTGTGGCGATATCCTTGTTTTGTTTTCAGCTAGTAAAATTGCAATGTTAAATATCTTGTTGAGAAATTTCTGTTAGCCTTTGTCCGTGTTTTATTTTATGTATGTTTGATCTGTTTGTTTGCGCGTGTTGCAGTGTGAGGTGTAGTCATAGCTGCAGTTGATTTTTTGAATGGGGACCTAGAGGTTATATCTATTTAAATTCATTTGATCGTAATATGTTATTTTTAATTGCTTAGTGCTATCGTGGGTCTGATTTGCTCATTGTTGATGGTTGTAACCTAGTCACCTCGATTGTGTGTCTATGGTCTCGTAGGATTCCTTTTTGTTTTGCTGCCGCCATGGCATATATCTTCATACCCCTTTGATTCATCAGTATGCCTAAGTTTTACTGTGAGTATTGCGGTATTTACCTTACGCACAGCTCTCCTGCTGGGCGTAAGCAGCATTCCATGGGTCGGAAGCACATAAACATGAAGGTGGACTATTATCAGAGTATGTTTCTATCTATGTGAGTCTGATGTTATGTTAGAATTGGTACGAGAGCACTTTTTTCAACCACCACCTTACACTCTTGCGACACCTGCTCCTGGTGGTAGGTTTGGTGCTATGGATTTTTATGTTTTGCAGGTTTTCCTCCAATGGTTCCTGGTGGAGTTCCGCCTGCTGTTCCTGGTGGAGTTCCGCCTGCTGTTCCTGGTGACTTACCCAAGGTTGGAGGTCCCATGGGTTTCTTAGGTGATCATCAGCCGGGTATGGGTGTGATCCCTCCTGCTCCTCCGCTTCCAGGGGCGCTTTCACATCCACCTCCACCTTACGGCGGTGTAATGGGTGGTGTTATGCCTGCTCCTGCCCCTCCTTACGGGATGAGGTAGTACTTTGGCAAGTTGTGCTTAAAGCCTAGTTGTATGTCCGCTTTTGAAAATGAGGTCACAAGTAGGCTAACATATCGTAAAATGTTATATTTTTGACTAATATGGTCGTTTTAGTTGGTAATGTATCGTATATTAATCGTTATTATTGTTTATATAGAGTTTTTTTGCGTTTTATAGTGGCCGATGTTTTGTTGTTGTGTCATATAACTGGCATAATTTGTATATCTAGATGTTTTTAGATCAGCTACTGCAGTTATTGGTGTTACAATCGCTGTCGATAAGTTACGTTATATCAATATTCCACATGCACATTCCACTGGTTCTTACCACGTTTCCGAGTCTGATAGTCACGTTGCCTTGTTTCTTGTGTACTGTTCCGTTCCAGTATGTTTGATTAGCGTTATAATTATGGGTACCGTTTGTTTATGAAGGGTATGAGTGTTGTTTTATGGTTGTGATTTGGTCGCGTTGTCGGTATTGGTATTGAGGTCACACATTTATACGCTGTTAGTCTTATCTATCTATTTGATAGATTTCCTACAACGTGTATTTGCGTGCGAGCGTATGTTACTTGTGTGAGTTGGTTAGTAACACGACAAGTTAACCACCACTAGTTCCCTAACATTGGCATTGCCCACTTTTTCCCTAGCTTGTCTCACTGAGGCTTAGATTAGCGCTATGTGTTTTCGCCATGGCGCGGCGCTAGCCTGTGTATTCTCTGCAGGTATAGCCGTAGATATCAGCAAATATTTGGTTATATCATCGCGTTACATTTTTTAGCGTCTTCGTAGTATGGTTGATGCGAGCGCCTTTGAATCGAAGTACTACTTCGATGTGAGCGAAAATCAATGGTGGGTGTTGTCCCGGGGTAAGTCTGAGTGGTCGCGCCTTAGTTTTGAGGCTGCGCGTTCTCTTGGACTTCACGAAGCTGTATTGAGCGAGGAATGTACCTTTGTTGAGTCTACAGTTGGTGATTACAAGGCTGCGTTGTGTACTGGTTCGTCGTTGCGTGAGCCAGTTTCGTCACATGCGTCCGATGTTGACGATGATGCTGTACCTCCTGAATCTCTGCCATCAATTCAGTATGGCAAGAGTTTAAGTTCTCAATCGAGTATTCTGCCTAGTTCTAGATCAAGATTGTCGAATAGTGATTCTTTTTCTAAGGAGGAAAGTCTTCAAGTAAGGTTCAGTAACGAGAGCATCGTGTATTCTCCTGCGAACACTGGTGCTTTTGATGGCCCTGATTTGGCTGCTCGTTCTGTGTCAGCACCTGATTGTACTAATATGGAGTCTTCATCGTCCGTTGTTAGCGGTTTTGACCGCCAGGGTACATCTGGCAGTGCGATTTTCAAAGATGAGTTTAACAAGTTGACGAATGAGACTTCTGGTGTTATATCTACGTCTGATGGTGAATCTGCTCCATCTACTTTGACTAAGGTTGAATCTTTTGTTCGTACTGCGGTGCGTCACGCTACTATGAAAGACGGTACTGGTTTTGGTGATTGCATCCGTGCTGTGGCCGTTGAGCGTGAGCGTATGCAGAAGTTAGGTACGTTATTTGGGCGTGTTTTGTATCAATTTTGTCAGCTACTATTAAAGGGAACTCTTCTGGTGCGGGTGAGCGTTATGAGAAGATGCTTGACCGTGCTCGTACTCTTGCGGCCATATCTCAAGAGGGTGAAGGTGAGGCTCGTCGTGAGCGTAGCATCGACGAGCGTCGTCAGACGTTTATGCGTGACTTGCGTATGGAAGGTTTGTTATTTTTTATTGTATTTTTCCTTTGACATCTTATGCAGTTATGGGTGATGGAGGTGCTGTTAGTGCTACAGTTGATGTATCATCTGGCTCTGACGATGATACTGAGTTGTCAAAATCGGATTCTTTGAAGAATTTGATGTCGCAGCGTATGTCGCTTCGTCGTGGTTGTACTCGTATGACCGATGATTCTACATCTTGAGAATCTTATTATAGGTTATATGCTGGTCATCTGCGTTATATTGTTTGGATTAGGGTGCAATTCTGGTGATGCGGCGTCCATGTGTACTGCCACTGCGGTCCTTGTTGGCGGTTTGCCTGATGTGTACTTGTATTGTTGTATATTTTGGCTTACATTATTTGCAAGGTTCATTGATTTTCTGTAATAGGGCTATTTTTGGTCCTCTATAATTTAAAGTTAAGATGTCGCGCAGCCGTCGTCGTCAATTAGGTTTATCGGTTCGCGAGTACGAGGAGAGTGTGATTCTTGAGCGTATGTTCCAATTGGCTCAGCGTCATCGTTGTGCAACATGTTTGGTTCGTGTAAGTGTTATGCTTGTGTGATTATTTAATTTGATTATAGAAACCAACCCATGTAGACCAGGAGCGTGAGGAGTTGCTGTGTGAGAGTTGCGCTCGTCGCGTTCCTTATAAGGTTCGTATCGGCCACGATCACATTTCCCGTGTATTATTGGATCGTCTTGAATCTGCTTACGACCATCGTTCATCTCGTAATCGCATATCTGGTCATAAATCTGATAAGAAGAAGCACGGTTCGCACCGTCTTAAGCATTCTCCATCTTCATCTGACCGTTTCGCGTCAGCACGTCATACTGAGATTCATCATCGTCGTGTTCCTAGTTCTAGTAAACGTCGTCAATCTTTAGATAGCGTGTCTACTGAGGAGAGTGTTGCACGTGATACTCGTCGTTCAGGTTGGCCTGGTCATCATCGTTCATTTTCGTCATCTTCAAGTGTTGCTGGTCGTGTTCGTTCTCCTGGCGTTCCTCATGTTGATGAAGATTTATTTTCTGGTGGTCGACAGAGTCATTACAGGATGGATGCCCGTGATCTTCGTTACGGTGGTCGTGATGCAGTGTGTCGTCGTAATGCCTCCCGCCCTGACTATGTTACCGACTACCAGCCGCCATATTCTCGTGGACACAGCGAGAATATGGCACCTCATCGTCCTCACAGGGACCCTTATGGTTACGACATGCCGTTAGTTGATGACATGCCGGGGATGAAAGGTAGCATGATTCCGCGTCGTCCGGCTTTACGCGATCCTCCTAATCACTGGGATCGTGGTAACCGCATACCGCATAATGGTCCTCCTGGTCCTGGTTATTCGGTATTACCGGTTGATCCTCGTAAGGGTGGCGCTGGCGTGTCGCGTGTTGACAATCCCGTTGGTGCTGTTTCATCTAAAGAGTACATTTCTGGAGTTCGAGAGCAAGATGTGGGATATGAGCAGCCTGGGTGTCCGTTACCACGTTTAGCTGTTGGTAGCAATCCATTTTCTACTGGTTATGGCCGCGACCGTGTCTCCGGTCGATTTGACCTGAGCAGTATGCGTTTGGCGTTACCATCAGTTGATGTGTTACCTTCATCTGGTGTTGGTTGCGATGTGATGCCATCCGTGACGGCTTCTTATCGAGGCGTCGCTGCTTACGGCGGGTTGTATGATCGTCGTGCGCGTCACTAGTGTGTTATACTATCTTTATATATATCTTTAGACACCTTTTAATATACTTACTATGTGTTCTATATCGTGATGACCGTCTGCGACGTTTCAGTCGTTCTCGGTGCTGGTATATTAGCTTGCCCAAGCGAGTGTCCTTTTTGGTCTCAGAGCGCTGTATGGAAGGGTGTGGGCGTTTGTACTCGTGGTGATCGTTGTAGTGTGTACAATCCTCTATTATCCTACGCTGACGATGTGAATAATGTGTGTCTACCGTGCGGGGTGTACGGTTGTGTTTCTTGTGCGTATTCTGAAGGTTCTTTGCCTGTCTTAGGTGCGGATTCTACACGTTTACCTGATGTGTGCCTTGAGTGTGCACCTGGGTATCGTATGGGTGACGATGGTCATCGCTGTTACCTTGTAAAGAGTTCGATATGGTCTCGTTCTTTTTATGCGTTGGTTGCAACTACTTTGGTGTGTTTTGCTGGTTTGGGTCTGCGAATGCTTCTGCGTCCATCTCAATATGAGTCTAATCTGAATCGTTACCATGATGCTGTTGAGTCGCAGAAGATTGGTAACTGGTCGACAAAGCTTCGTGGTGATGTCTTTGGTACTCTGTTAGGTCTGATGCGTGTGGATGTTGCTGGTGTTGGTGTTATTCTTTATTTTCGTTTTTTAGCGTTTTTGGCGTCAACTATCTTTGGTATGATTCTTTTGAACCTTGCACATGCGCATATCCCATGCTCAGACATGATCCGTTCGTTTAAGAAGCCTTTTAGTTTAGATCGTGTTGGTGATTTAAGTTCAGGTGTCTGGTGGCAGAGTTACTTTAAGTTGGCTAGATCAGTGGGTCTTCGGGATCATGTATTGAACTTCAAATACGTTGATGATGCGATAGATTGGAGTGTTTCTCAATATGCTCAGGATACTTCTCGTGTGATGGGTGTTGTTTATCTCTGTGTGATGGGTGCGACTATAGTGTTTGCGTTATATCAGCGTAACTTTTTGCAGAACTATTTCAACGGTCGTGCTCGCGTGCAATACTTCACGTTAGTTTTGGATGGTGTTCCTCCTTTACATTCTTTGGAAGACTTTGTTGAGGATGCCACTGGCGTGCGTCCTAAGTCGGTTGCTGTGGCTTACGACATCGGTGATTCTCTTGATGGTATGCGTGATTTTCTGAACGTATTGGAGGAGGATAACAATGACGGTATCTATGTGAACTTGGAGATGGCATCTCAGCATCGTCGTGTGTTGAACGAGTTGCAGCCTAGCGGCACTGCTTTTGCTGTTTTCGGTAGTCGTCAAGCCGTGCATCGTGCGCGTGTATCTTTTGAGCGTAGCGGTATCTGTGGTGTTCGTGAGTGTGATTTGGAGCCAGAGGATGTGATTTGGTCTAATTTGTCTAAAGGTGAATCTTTATTTGGTCGTGTTGTTTGTATAACAGCAGTGATCTGTGCTGCTCAGTTATTGTGGACCTTTTTATTTTTTATGCCCTATGCAGCTTACAAGTTACTTTCACTTTCTAGTGATTTTTTTGAGTCTATGTGGCTTTGTTTGTTTGCTGGTGTTGGCAATTCATTGGTTGGTGCTTGGATCCGTTTAGCAACAGATCGTGTAGGTTTTATGAGTCGTGAGACTTCTGAGAGTTATTTGATGTGGATATCTGCGGCTGCTAAGTTGTTTAACGTTGGTGTGAATGTGTTATTAGCGCATATGGTTAACTACGGTGGTCGTTACAAGTTAGTATCGGTTGTTAAGGATTTTGGTTTATATATGCGTACACCTACATTTCGTGTTGGTGAGGAGGTTTCAATATCTCAAAGTTTGGCTGCGTTTATGTCTAATGTGCTTTTATTGGTGCCTTTGTTATCATTTTTGTTTGCACGTTATGGTACGCCATTATTGAAGTTTTTGTTTGTGCTTTCTGCCGATTTGGACGAGAGTGAATCTAAGAATATGGTTCGTGCTTCTCGGTTTGATTTATCTGAGCGTTACTGTATTTCTGTGGTTCACTTTACTTGTTCTCTATTGCTTCAATTTGTGATTCAGAGCAAGTTACAGGCATTAACACTTACTCTATGTCTTTTGGGTTCTTGTTTATTACACTACGGGTGTGATGCTTATATGTTACTGTATAAATCGTCTCCAACTCGTGTTGTTGGTTTTGCGTCGTTTTACAACGCGTTACTTCTTTGGTCAGTGCCTACTGGTATTTTGGCTGCTTGTCCATCATATTGGCGTTGGCGCGGTGCAAACGGTCGTTTATCTACCGTTTTGATTTGTTTTCTTCTTCACATGGTTTGTTACCATGGTTTGATGAGATATATGTACGGGTTACGTCGTCGTTTTGATGTTGTTGAGCACAACAACTCTCCATCTGATTACACGATGGGCAACCCTGTGTATACGCTTCGTCGTTTGGCTGCGTTTTGAAGTTGTTTTATCGCATATTTTTTGTATAGGTTGTGTTGGCAGTGGTTACCGTGGCGTCCATGCTGCCTATCAGACTGTTTTAAAGTAAAAAAATATTACTGTAAAATTTATTATATAGTATGTGCAAATATTGTGTTGTACCATTGGTCCGTTAATTTTATCAACGTTAAATGGTACAGCACTTATTCTTAAAATAGAGGTGTTTTCCCGATGATACGTTTTTCAGGCCAACCTTTTGCGATGAATCTAGTCATTTTCGTGTTGTGGGTTGAAATTGTTTGTTTGTCTTTCTTGATGTTGTTTCATTAGTTTGATCATTTCACGTTGTTGCGGTGCGTTGAATTCATCGAATCTTTTGACGGATTCAATTTTTGTAACGTCAATTTTTGGATGTCCCTCTATGAGGGCATCCCACCACCTTTCATCTGTTTTTTCGAGCGATATGATGAGTCTACATTTGTCTTCGATGCTCCACATAGATTCATCTGCATTGATTAGATAAGGGAATTTTCCGTGTATTACATTTTTTCCCCATAGGTTTAGTTGCATCGAGTCTCTGTTGATATTGAGTTTTACATGGTGAGCAGCTATATTGCGTAGCGCTACGATTTCCACAGTGACATCCGTGAATGTCTGAGTCCAGCTATATAGATTAGTTTTTCCTCCGTTCCAGTCCTGAATTGTAAATTTCGTTGATATCGATTTCATAACTTCTGGGTCCACACCGTGTACTTTGGGTAGTTTGTCTTGTTGATCTTGATACTTTTGAGTATTTCCCTTATCCTCCTGTGCTTCACCTTTTTGTTCCGTTCTGCTATCGGCCACTTTATGCTGTGTAATTTTATTTCCGTTATTTTGCGGTGTGACCTGTGTCTTCTGTGCGTGTTCCACTGTTTGTTGTGTCCAATTTTGTGACTTCGTCATAGTGGAAGCATTTTGTATAAGGTACGGTTGATGTCTTTGTCTATATTTTTCTAGATTTTTTTCAAATATATGTGCCAGCAGTGTCCTAACATGATTTTCTTTGAACCCTTTACTATTTACTGCTGGATCTAGTCCTAACCTTTGTATATCGTGTTGTGATAATTGTGTATGAAAGAAATCCGTTTGTGTTGACAGGAATCCAAAGAATGCTTCGAGTAGTTGTTCGATATCCTTGAATCCGCGTGCTGCGGCATGCATAATATCGTTAAAATTATCCATCATGGTCTAGATGTGACTGTGAAGTGACTATACTTTCCTCTACCGCTTCCCTAACCTTTCTTACGTATTCCGATCTATATTCCGTATATAGAATTGCTGCTTCTTTGTTTGCTGGGCTTTGATTATTTGGATCTGTCAGTAGTGACTGTATTGATGTAAGTATTGCTGATACATCGAATACTGGGCTCCACTCCTTGTCTAGAATGTCAAGGCATATGCTTCCGTCTTGGTATACGTTTGGATGGAATATTTTGGTAGTGAACTTAACGGTTGGCGGTCTATGAGGGTATTCGTTTGTGAACTTGAGTGCTAATGTGAATATGCCTGATATTAATTGATGTGTATTTTGTTATTTCTTACCTCCTTCCCACTCTGTGTTATCTGGTCCTAGAATAACAGCTTTCCATACGAATATATCTCCATTAAGTGGGCTTGCGCATAGTGAATCTGGTCGCTCTTGTTGCAGCTTTCGCAAATCGAGCAACAGTCTGCGTCTCTGCGATGTAATGATTGGTTGTCTTTGTGTTATTGTTGTTTATACGATGTGTTTAAATTGTTGTTTATAATTTAACTTACCGCCTCGTAGCTCATGTGTTGATAGTTCTAACTTTGTACTATACTGATTAAATTGGCAGGTGTTTGTTGTATGTGTGGCCTGCTCGCGCGTATGTGCTGTCTGTGTTATTGAGCAATAATGGTTTCTGATTTAGTTGGATCTGAGTCTAAGGTTCTTGCTCGTGAATTTCTTGATCTTGAGGAGCTTAAAGCTCGGGAGGCTCGATCTCGTGCCGTTGTGCTTGAGATCCTTGGTGACATTCCTGATGCTGATGTTTCTCCTCCAAAGAACGTGTTATTCGTTTGCAAGTTGAACCCTGTTACTGAGTCTGATGATTTGAAGTTGATATTTTCTCGGTGTGTTTATTTTTTTCATTTTGTATATTCATCAGGTTTGGTCCGGTGGTGAGTTGCGATGTGATTCGTGACTATAAGACTGGTGATTCTTTGCAATATGCCTTCGTTGAGTTTGAGAGTGAGGAATCGTGCAACGATGCTTATTTTCGGATGCAGAATGTCTTAATTGACGATCGTCGGTAGGTGGTTACTTTTGTCATATATTATTATATTAGGATCCATGTTGATTTTTGTCAATCGGTTTCTGGTTTTTGGAAACGTTACAAGGCGAATGAATCTTTTACTCGTGCCAGTGTCACGGCCAAAGGTCGTGCAATTCGAGATGAAGTAAGGGAGGGCACTGTACCATCGCATGATGTCCGTAGTAGCGGTACTACCACCGGTGTCGATCCCGTTAATCGCACGAGTGATGGCCCATCTCGTTCACGTCCTATTAAAATTAGGAGGGATAGGAGCCGTAGTCGTTCCCGTGATCGTAGGGATCGTTATTCCAGGTCCAGTATAAGGCGATCAGGTCATAATCATTACCGCCGTCACCACCATCATGGTGGTCGTCGTCATAGTTCCGATGATTCATCTAGCGATTCCTCTCGTGGTCACTCTCGTCACCGTTACCGATCACGCGATGATCGCTCGCGTCGAAGTCGTCGTGATTCTCATCGCCGTCACAGGTCCCGTGAAGGTTCAAGGCACAGTTCTGTGTCCCGTAGGGACAGCCGTCGTTATCATCACCGTAACCGTGTTTGATCATTTTAACTGTGCTATTTTTGGCAAAATTTATATTACAAAGTTAGTTTGTATTAGGTACAGGGCTATCCCTGGTCAATGTCACCTTCTTGTGAATTTTTGTATGCCAGTTGAGCTATGGTGTCGTATTCGTTTGTATGGTCTTGTGTCTGTTTTGGCATGATTTTTGCCATTTTGAAGAGTTCGAGATCTGAAGGTGTGAGGGTGTAGCCTGCCTGCAAGAGCCCGGCGACTACTGTCTCCATCCGTTGCCTTATATCCTCTGGTAGCTGCGCCCCTTCCCTTGTTCTTATATCGCCGGTGTATGGCGGTGGTTCCTTTATGGTCCTGAGCATAACGTATTTCAATTTATCATTTGGCATGTATGGGTGCGCTCCGTGCATTTTGAGTGGTGCGGTTAGATTGCTGATAAGTTGTATATTTTCTCCTTTAATGCTATGTCCAACAGGTCGTTTCCATCCTCTGAAATCGATATCGTATTCTCGTTTTTGTCCCAACATTTCCATTGCCAACCTTCCCATATCACTTTCTGGTATATCGTGGAATTTCAAATATATGTACCACCTTAACAGTTTGGCGGGCGGTATTTTGATTGAGAGTGCTAGCTCCATGATATCGCATAAGGCTTTTGGATCTGTGTCTGTCATTACCTCCACGATATTACAAGCTCTGCATATGAGTAAATCACCTATTTGTTCTAATCCGGTGTAGTTTGCTGCCTTGAGTGCGAATAGTGTCTCATGTATATCCTCTATTGTGAGCGTATGTTTGAAAATGTTCAATAGTTCTAAGAAAGAGTTCCATGGTTTGTCTAGGCGAACCCCCGATTTTGCCGCCATCCTCAATACGTGTGCCACTTCCCGTAGTGGATACTCCAACCTTTCGGCGTCCAGCGACTGCACCTGCATATATGAGTAGTCAGTAACCTCATCACACATTTGTGAGAAGAGTTGTTCGAGTTGTTTCCGTGAAAGATTTGGGTGGAACCCATGTAATATATCAACTGCCCTCCTTAATATTTTTGGATTCGGTGTCTTTGCTTTTACGAACTGATTGTACATAGTGACTATAAAAGCACTATCAGTTTTGATCCTTGGAGGTTTACCGTTTTCTCTTGGTAATGTTGCTTCGCGGTATACTTCCATGGCTTCCAGCCACTGTTCGCCTTTCAGTGTCCACCTTACGTCCATGAGTGCCGCCAGTGCTCTCATTACTAGTATTTGTTCCTCCTCTGTGTCCTGTGAGCACGTTTGCAAGACAGCGAGTGCTCCCATTGAGTGCATTTTGAAATCCTGTACTACTGATGCCATGTTAAGTTTTTTCACCAGATATCGATATTCTTGCGTCAAATCACACCAACTCAGACAGCTGATTAGGGACCATATATATTGTATTTTCCTTCCTCTGACAGCATTAACTTTCATCCTTCGATTTAGTTTATAACGTAACTCATCATCCATCCGATGTCGTTCTGCCATGATTTCATCATCTGCTTTTCTAATACATTGCCAATAGTCATCGTGTTCCTCTGTTGTATTACCTGTTTGTATCGAGATATTTTGTTCGATTTCATCAGGTTCTGGCACCTTTAATTCCATGAACTCTTTCATGTACAATTTCATGAACGTGTTCATGAACTCTTTGTTTATTGCATGATTGTACCTTGCCAGAAGGTTGAGTGTTTGCGCCGCGGTTTCAAAATCCATCCACTTTGTATGGTTTGTATCCACGGCGCAGTGTACTAGGTCCTCTTGGAACCTTTTCTGCATTTGTTGTACTATTGCCTTGACAAATTTGAGGAATACTGACTTTGGCAGTTTGTGTATGTTAGCGATATTGACAGCGGTTGCGACTAGATACTTTGGCCTCATTTCAGCGATGCGCGCGTTTGTGAGCACTATGATCGCATCTACTATCCCTTCCACGCCGTCTACGATGTTCCATAGTGACAGTGTTGCTGCTAGCGTTGCTAGGTATGCATCATCTATTTGGCAAAGGTGTGCCTCTAGATCGGGCATTTGTATATCAGTTATGCCTAGCTTTAGCCTTGTAATTTCCAATTCCAGGGCCCGTTCTATGGTTGCGAGTATCGTTTTGATCCTTTGTTCTGTAAATATATCTGCTGCGTATAGCGTGGTGAGTTCCTGTGCTCTGAGTAGCGCTAGAAGTGCGTTAACTGCATTAACTCTGAAATTCTTTGGTTTTTTGTCAGGTGTCATTGTCATTGGGTATTCCGGGTTTGGCGGAGGTTTTGGGAACCCCTTGAGTGCCGGGAAAATAACATTGAACAATCTATCCTGTAGGTCTAGAAACTCTGGTTCCTGTTTCGGCGTTTCTCTTTCAAAAAGGTCGAAATATCTCAATACATCATATAGATATTGCGCGTTTTTAAATTCTTGCATAATTTCATGATCTTCCGGTAACATCAGGAAGTGATGCAGGTAGTCCCTGAGGAACTGTTGGTTTGGTTTTTCTGTTGTGTCATTTATATTAACTTTCACTCCTACGGATTTTAGCTTATAGGTTATTTCAATTGTTTTGTGTGTTTCGATTGCAGTTTGTACCATTTTCATGCGTTTATATTTATCCCACGGGTTATATGGGTTTAGTGCCAGTAGCATCTCTAGTTGTGTTTGTCTATTTCCTGCAATAAGTTGTTTTTCCAATTCTGTATCGTTTACGTCTACTTTGGCAGAGAATGTAGTTGCAACCATTTGATCTTTCTCCTGTGTAACTTTGTCCATTGAATTTTGACGGTTACTATCGGTTTGTGTCATGTTTTTTTCTAGTCTGTTAAGCCTTATTTCGTCTAGCTGTCTACCCATTTGGTCCGTATCCTTTTTTGGTGAATTCGATAGTATAAGTTCCTCCAACGTTTGTTCCCTCTGTTCTACCTTTCCATGTGCCCTGGGCAATGTCCTTAGGTACTGTGTTTGGTATAGTCCTGTGCGTCCCCATGCTTTGTATACATTGGGGTCGCTATACCTTTCTTCTGGTGACCCTGCAATAGGGTACCTGTATCCGCATTGTTCTTCTCTTGTTAGTATTTTGTATGACCTATCTACTATATCAGATGCGTTAGTGCATCTACTTCTTTTTGCCTGTCGTATTTTATCTGCAATTCCCGATTTCAGCATCCGTATATATTCATGCCACTTATATGTTATGGTTGTTTTTTCTTCTCTATTTTTTGATTGTTTCTTAACTTCTTCTATGAAATCTTCTACTGTCATATCTTCAGCAGCATTGGCATATTGTGACTTTGATGTTTTTTTCATTTCTTTCATCCGCCTCTGCAGGAACCCATATATATCACGTTCACCTTTTTTATCTGATTTTCTCCATTGTTCCAGCGTTGAATACAAATCTTCATAAGTTTTAAGCTCTTGTTCATGCGTTTTGCCTTGTTTCCTTACATAATATGTGTCTTCATCGTTTTCATCATCTGTTATTGTGTCATCCTTTTTGAGGTTGCTATTTTCAACCCTCGTTCGTTCCGGTTCACCTCTTGTTTTAATTTCTTGGATGGTTCTGCGAACTTCATCGTGTATAAATGCGTTATCTCCTGATTCCAAGGGCACATTGTCACCATATGGCTCCAATATTTCATCGTCGTGATTGGAGTATACACTGAGGTCCCATTTAGGTGTGACTGTCCCGCATCCACCCTTTTCAGTCCTATTTACCTTTGGTCGTCTGCCATATAGGAAATTGCCATCGTTTCCACGTGCTGGTACGAATGCTGCCTTTGATATATGTGAGTATTGTATATCATTCCATCGTGTTAGATGTTCTCTATAGCACCGATGTGTTGTTGTTGTTTTATCGATTGCTGTTCTGTTGAAAGCATTTTTCCGTGGGTTTATATTGGCCCCTTGAGATAGTTGTACGTGTCTATTCGTGAGTAGTGTGAATATTAACACGCTGAGTGCCAGTATTCGACATAGAAGGCCCGTTTCCATGCGTCGATGGCGTTGCTTAGGTCTAAAATCCCTAAATTCATGTTATCTTCCCGTTAATATTTGATTATATTTCCTGGGTGTCTTCAGAGTTGCTAGAGGAAGTTCTCATCGTTGTATTTTAGCTCTATGTGTTGTACGTGATCACTGTGTCTATCATGATTTGGTGCCTTTTTAAAGAGTATTTCTATATTGTTCAGCGTGAGCATTATTGGTTAAAATATTATTCATTAAATGTCTGTTAACGGTTATTGTAATTTCCCGCTTACTTTCGCAGGAGCGTTGTTCGGTGTGTCGCCTCTGTGTATGGGTCTAACCACTCGTTCGTTGATTCCTCTTTAATGTCTCAATAATATGTTCACATTGTGTCTGCACATATTTTAAATATGTGTGTATATGTTTTTCATACCTGTCCTGCTTATATATGTGCCCTTATCTAGCTGGAACATGCTGCATAGCCAATCGAGTCCCTCTCTTATTCCTTCGCCTGTAGCTGCGGAGCATGCGTATATGCGGCTGTATATTGTGTATATATATATTTGTTATTGGTGACTTACACATGTCTATCCCTGATTTTATCTAGGTCCAGTGCGTCATGTGCTTCTTCCAGGAACACGAACGAATGTTTATCACACTTGTTGAGCAATACTAGAAGGTTGGGTGCCCCCGTGGTTTGTTCCAATTGATGGAATAGGTAGTCTCTGGCTAACGGTAGCCCGTCGGGTGCCGACCCATCCACTATGTATATTAGTGCTCTAGCCACTTCTGCTTCGTTTGCGATTTCCTTTTGCAAAGTATTCTCTGACATCCAGAATAGCATCTTCACCTTACGATGTGATACCCATTGCATATCTGTGTCTACTGTAAACCGTCAGTATACATAAACATAACCATAGCATATTATTTTAACCATTTATGTATTATTTGTTTGTTTAATGAACCAAATTATTATTATGATTTAATTAAACAATTTATATATAATATTTATGTTAATGCCAATGTATATGAATTTGGGTTTAATATTTATTTGACCTACCATCATCTTGTGTTCCATCTAATTTGGGTACACCATATTTGAGGAACCTTACAACGGCACTTTTCCCGGAATTTTCCAGTCCGAATATCCGTACTTGTAAGATAGGGGTTGGTGTCGGGGCCCCTGTATCACGCCTTCGGCATGATAATGAGCCACCCATGTTTCGGGGTTAGATCAGAGTCTGTTACCCCTATTTATGTTCTCTAAGTGTTTAACTACACAAAAAATATGTAGCTTAATATATATTTGTCAATGGCGTTATGTCGTCTCGCCGGATGTCGCATTTTGTTACCCTGGAAGTACTATGTCGACCACGGAGCGGCAGCCGTCAATGTCGGCCGTTATAGCGTGTCGATTTGTACAACGTTATCATGGCGCATTAGCGATATGTAAAATAGTGTAATGGACGTCACGGTCACCTTCCAGCGCTGGTATTCAATCCCGGCGGCTTCCAGAGCATTTATCAATTAGCAGTATTTATATCACATATCAAAGGCGATTGGATATATTTCCTTGCTTGTAAATTGTAATTAAGTGGGTATAGATGCTATAGGTTACGTTACTTGTGCTTTTCAGAGAGTATTCTCAATGTTACTGTGAATGGTTAGCTTAATGAGACAGGGGTGTGTAAGTGTTGGCGGTAGCGTACAATCCCCCTTGTTAAATATTGTATACTTAATGGTATGCAATTTATGTATGCGCATGAGCTGTTTTTTACACATGTGTTATTTCTCAACGCATGTTACGCCACATTGTAGCCTCACTGTGTAAAACATGCATCTTTCAGAAGTAATGTCAGAGTAAAACCTTGCACATTCACGTAAGTCATATTACTCTGTCGTATTTGCTTTAGGCGTTATTTTTTAGCTGTACGCCCTTCTGCGTTGCGCGCCACACTGCAGGTGCCGCAACGACACACATGGATTAATTAGTTTAGTATATAGATTTCGGTGGTATATGCAATTGTATTAAAGATTGTACTACATGGTTTTACGTGGTGTCTCGAATTAATATTACCCATAGTAGTGTTTTGTTACAGGCCCAAACACGCTTAAAAGAGGCGTTATATCCATTTTTCTGATCCTTATCATTCAAGGGTCAGGGCAAACCAGGGATCGCATCCAATGAGGATTTTGTTGTGAGTGCGTCGAGATGTCGACTACCGGGTTGGATGAAACGCATCCAACAGACCTAGGCGTGTCTATGCCTAAGGATGAAGAGGCATCACCGTCGAATGATGTAGTGTATCGTCATAAGTTCCGAATATTCATTTTAATGGCTATATTAGAATGTTTCGTGAACTTTGACGTAGGGGCAATGACGGTAATGTTACCGTGGATACAGGAACCTTATAGCCTGTCAACTACGGATTTAGGTCTAATAGGGGCCCTACCATATGTTGGTCTGATTACTTTGAGCCCTTTCATCGGCATAATTTTTACATTTTTCAAGGCGCGCTGGGTCATAGTGACAGGACTGATCGGCAATATATTATCCCTGTCTCTATTTGCAGTTGCCTATAATAAGGCGATGTTTTGCGTTGGGCGTTTTTTAGTAGGTGCTACTCAATCATTTTTCATAGTCTACGCACCTGTGTGGATCGGCTGTTTTGCCCCGGAGGTCCACAAGAATTTATGGATGGCCATATTACAGGGGTCTATCGTAGGTGGTTTTATGGTTGGCTATCTTGTTACCGCCATTTCGGGGTCACTAGGTGAGAGTGGATGGCGGTACAGTATTGCATCTCAGATGGGTATTATCGCAATATTAGTTTACGCCTTTTTGCTCATGCCAAGCGAATATATTAACCTTTCTCACACGATGGAGCCTGACGAAGAGAGCGCGGAATGTACCACATCGTCATGGTTACTATCCCCGCGTGAAAGCTCTGAAAATGGCTCAGTTGCTGGTGAGCAACGCGATGGCTCTATAGTGGGTCTTGACAGTTCTTCTAAGGTTCGGATAGATGTACAACATCGTCGTGGCAGCTCATGCGAGTCAAAATCGATTCGTGATAGCATAACGCGGTCGTATTGTTATCACACGGCCGCTGTACCTAACCTGACTACATGCCTTAAGACGAAGAAGCTGGATATAATGTCGTTACCAAGCATAAAGAAGAACGCATCGTATTATGAATGGCGTCGCAGTAGCCATATTATAGTGCGTAATATTCCCGAATCTGCGGAAGGTTCTGATGTTGTTTATACGCTAGTTTCTAGTTTCATGAAGATCCTTAGTGACCCCTATTTCTGTTGTTCTACACTTTCTATTTCTACACTGTTTTATATCCTCACAGCCATCCAGTTTTGGACGACCAAGGTTTCCGTGAGTGTCTATGCGGTGAACCCGACCCTGATATACACGCTGTTCATTGTCACATCTATAACGGCGCCAGTTATTGGTGTTATAGCGGGATCGTGGGTTATTGACAAGATCGGTATGCGTTATCCTACTAAGCCGGTGATTGTCGATTTGGTTATTCTATCATGGACCTTGATAGCGATTGTTAGTGGTGTATCTGCTATATTGTGGTTTAATTTTTATAATTTGGTAGCTTGTATTTGGGTTATTCTGTTCTTCGGTGGCGGGATGCTGCCACCACTAACCCTGATAACTATAGACAATGTTCCCGAGCGTTTGAAGCCTTTAGCTTCTAGCATTTGTATGTGTTTGTATCACATTTTCGGGTACATTGGCGGGACTATGGTGCCTGGTGTAGTGATGGATATTACTAAAGATGACGCTTATGCTATCTACGCCACCTACATTCCTGCGATTCTAGGGGCGCTGGGCGCCGTGGGTAACGTGCTCGCTCGTTACCGAGATTCAAGAAAGAATCCTAATCAGAACGTTAGCGAAACTGTTTAATGCGCGGGAAAATATTCCCGCGCAATGTTCTGACATCATTTTAAAACACATGTCTTTATTGGTATATGGAATCAACATTGTATCACATGCATATTTCTTTAGATAGAGTGGTTACATTTAACCGAGAAAATTTTGAGACCCATTAGAAGCGTGAGAACGAAATCTAAAAAATTATAATATACACATATACATGGCTTCTATGTTATCTAGAGGCCAAGGTGTAATATACAGTTGATTGTGTTACCATAAGTGGTACATAAAGTGTATCCTTGAGGTATATTGGTGGGCTAATAATGAGTCTCTTGTGATCCTAGGGTGGGGGTGTTGATCGTAGATGTGTCCATTTTGGTAAGCTTCTATGTGTAATAGTAGGATCTGACGTCGTTATATAAACGTCATAAGTGTTATAGCAGCGCCATGGCGTTAGATTTGCCGGCAGATGACGCCGGCCAATCTATCGTCGACGCTGATCAAGATGGGCCCATCCGTAGGCCCCGCCGTGCTCTAGATGATACACATTGCCCATCTTCTAACACAAATGAAGACATATCAAGCAATAAAGATCCAAGAAGACGGCGACAACAAGCAGTTGGTATTGTCGACAGAGCACTTGTTGCTGTACCATACCAAGTTGGTCAATCCTCTTTGAAACAATTGGAGCGCATCCTTGACAAGGACCTCTTATTGATAACAAGTTTCTTAACTAAGCGGTTAGTCAAGTTAGGATCCCGCCAGGTGGTAATAGAGAAGCTGAATCGTGCTATCGAACGGTTACGTGACCTCGAAACTTCGTTACGTAACATCGATGAATCTTTGGATACTCGAATATCCGAGATAATAACACGTATAGTTGCACTGGAGAAAGAACCGGAATTAACTATAAACCAATTTGATGCTTCGTTTCGTTTTGAGGATCATCGCAAACGTGTATCGTGGATAGTAGCAAAGTACCTAGCCCGTAGGGGATACATACGTGCAGCCAGCCATTACACGGCCAATGAAGACCTTAGGGAGCTCTTAGATTCGGAGCTGTTTTTATTATGTGATCGAGTGTACCGTGAATTGAAAGCGCATAAATTAGATTCAGCATTAGAATGGGCTGTATCACAAAGTGAGACTTTAGCTCGCCATAAATCCACCTTTTTAGATGAAATAAGGGTACAACAGGTGGTGTTACGTCTAAAAGATGGCGACTTGGAAGGTGCAACACTTCTACTGAAATCATTTGGACATGCCATGTTAGAGCGTTGTGAGGACAGTAGGAAGCTTTTTTCCGCGCTGGTACTGTTACGTCTACGTGATAACCGGTCTACAAAGTCTAAAGAGCAAGGTTCTAGTAACAAAGGTAAAAATGGTGCGGAGAATGGTGAAAACACGTTACCGTTACTTCGTCGAAACCGTGGAACTAAAGATTGCCAAAGGGTACTACTGGGGGTACCAAATGTCTTTGAAAAAGTAGAATCAGAACAATCTGGCTCTGACCCCGCAAGTTGTGAAAATGATAACGCTCCAACTTTAGTATGTATATACTGTGCAGATAACGAACGTAAACGTTGTGCGATATGCCGTCGTTATCGTGAACTAATGGATAATCGGCGTTGGGACCATTTGGCCCAGGAGTTTGAGCGCAGCGTAGCTTCTATATATGGGCTGAGCCAACATCCACTGCTAGAGAGTCTGATACATACCGGCCTGTGTGCAGTGAAGTCGACCAGTTGCAAGGACCATCGAAATGCTACGTGCCCAGCATGCTTACCAGAATGGCAACAATACGTTGACGAGGTACCAACTTCTACTAAGTTGAACTCTGTACTCATATGCCCTATAACAGGCGAGATTATGGGTTACGACAATCCACCGCTCACAAGCCCCGGTGGCTGTGTAGTGTCGGAACGTGGCCTTCGAGTATTGCAACGCAGCAGTACTGACCAAGACGGGCTGGTGGAATGCCCGCGAACACGTCAAATGGTCCCATCTGACGAGTTCCAGAAACTTTTTATCACCTAGTGTGTTCGTTATGTACCCATGCGATATAAATATAGTTTGTGTCTTACCTAGATGCTAATCTCTTTCACAGTAACACACAACTAAAACGATTAGTGATATTTAAGAACCTGAGAATCGTAGCATCGGTTATAAGGGTATATCGATGGGGAGTTTGAAATGTTCAATGGCTGTCGCGCGGGTTGGGACGGGTTTTGTTATAGCACAACTGCTAGTTAACATCGTCCATTTTGCAAAAACACACCCATTATTATATAAACACCCTTTGAGTGTAATTAAAGCGTCTCTTAGACGCAAATTTTACGACTCCCAGAGGTGTTTTATAGCGGCGTGGAGTAGCCGCAAATCAAGATATATAGGTTTATTGGATTTCTGACAATGGCATATGGCAAACGGTCATTTGGAGCCACTTGGTGGGATCGTATAATAAAACTCTTGCGCCTAAATAGTGGAGAAAGTAGAATATATGCAGGATTCTTTTTCGCACTGATCATTCTGTATATGATCTGCTCTGATGGAGATTTCTCGTTCCTACTCACGCTGTCGTCGTTGGTCAGCTGTCTCAGCTTCATGGTTGTAACATATTGTATCGAGTCCGCCAAATCGTGCAAGGGGATCTCGCTACAGACTATTATGTGCTACCTCGTACTACTATGCTCGAGATTATTAGCCATATTACCATTCCAGGGGTAAGTCGAAGCTAAAAGTGTGCATTATATACATAAAAAAGAGATGTGTTTAACAAATCTATACCGGTCAATGGTATCAAGTTGCTATCGTACTGTGACAAAAGTAACCATTATATATTGTGTCGAGCCACTGATAAACCTTGCAGGTACCTCCCGTCGGATTCTAGCGGTGATTTTCTATACCAATTTTCCGAGTTTGTGGCATGCTGCTTCGCAGGGTACATAGTATACCTATGTGCAGTCAAGTACAAGGACACCTATGAGAAGGAACTTGACACAATGTCGGCATTCTACATATTGGGACCCAGCATGTTCATGGCACTGATATTACATCCTTCATTGAACCGTAACAGGTTTGGAGACACCGCCTGGGCATTCGCACTTTATGTCGAGACGTTCTGCGTACTACCACAACTGATCATGTTCCAAGCATCTGATCGTGCCAACACATCGACCGTCCATTTTACAGCGGCACAATCATCCGCGAAGATCCTAGGGTTCATATTCTGGCTGTCTACCTTCAAGGAGCTAAACGCTCGGGGAAATATGCTGACACACTATGTAGGACACTGTGTCATATTCACACAGTTTTTGCAAATACTCATAGTAGCGGATTTCTACTTCCACTATATGCAGTGTATAACACGCGGAATACCTGTGGAACTCATCATGGCCGAAGATGTGTAGCCCGATAAAAAAGACGGTGCAGTAACCTAAACACATGGCATAAATGAATTGAAATGCTAGATTTCATATCAATAGTATTAGCGCGTGCCATTTTGCAGCTGGCAGCCAGCGTCATAGCACCGCCATTACCCTATATCGTTACACGGCAGTCACGCGAGGTATTGGAGTACATCGCTTTGAAAGAGGCAAGACGACTTGACCACTTCGAAGGCACGCGACATATAATATACTGGATTGTATGGTCATATACACGTATATACCCCAAACTGTCACCTATCGCTATCACAAAGACACTCATATTTATATTTGATGTCCTCTCGGCAGCCTTCTGGTACTTCGCAGTTCGTCTATTGCCGCGGGCTAAGTTGAACAAGAACAACCATGTGGAAGGTTATAATTTCGTATGTTGATATATAAAGAAATGAACATGTCTCTATAGGCAACATCACCGTGGTTCATCGCAGGGTTACATCTACTGAACCCTTTTTCGGTATGTCATGAGATCAAAGTTATACATGTGGTCCAGATAGCATACAATGAAGGCTCAAATGCGGATGGAGTTGGGTACTTTTGGATATCGTTCGCTGTTTTCGCAGCAGTCAACCTAAATGTACCCAGATATATCAACACAATAGCATATATAATATACCAAATCGCAGCTACAGGACTTGTAATCAATGGATCGTTCAAGATGTATGCAGTGATACCCGCGTTGACCATGTTGGCCATCCATAAACGTCTGAAATTGAGCTCTGAAGCATCCATTACACGCAATGATTTGAAACAGATGGCAAGGTTCATAGTACCGCATGTGCTCGTCACAGCGTCGCTGTTGTTGCTATACCACTCAAATAACGGATTGACGGAGGTAGGTGCCCAAAGAATAATGTGGAATCAATACCATACAGCTGAAACAAACAATTGTGAACGATTACACCGGCCGCGGTACAGGGATCAACTACTCAATATACTGGTATATGCATAGAGTAGTACCAACAGTATTCAAGGCAGGTAACACTATGAAGTCCCATGTAAGTTGGTGTAACAAATAGTACAGATACCATTTCTGTCAAAAATGTGTGATACACCATGCAGATGATGCTATTCCTGGTACCGCTGCCGTTACTAGTGCTACTTCGACTGCGGCCTTTGGAGTGCCTCATCACCACGCTGGCCATCGCGTTGATCCAACATCCCCAACTGTCGATACTGGGAATATGGTACACTATATCTCTACTCGCGGTACACTACCCGATGCTGGACAAGAGCATCGGGTTTACGAAAATGGTACGTATAAAGAACCATAGTGTTATGGTTCACAGATGATGGTGGCTATCGCGGCCATGCTATTCTCTATCACGGCATATGTGGTATGGGTGGAACGGTATATCGCAAACCCAAATTACTTCTTCGCGCCACAGATAATAGTTATGCTCATACTGTGTAAGTACAAACAAAAAAGCCAATAGACACCACAGGTATGGTACTGGAAGACTACACCAGCGCTAACCTACAGCTGTCTAATTCAGGACGGAACCATGAAAAGTGCCGATAAACATGTCAATCGGCTACACTATCACATAACTTGTGGGAAAATGACAAATTTTTTATAATATAACCAGAAAATAATATATTTTTTAAGCGGATAAATGTGGCGTCGTGGGAAGGCAAAAATAACAGCGGATGTACTAGACAGGAATAGATGAAATATGAAGCCCCAAAATTTATAAATAATATACATATACATTTTTTAATACAAAATAGGCATAGAGAACATGGGCGATGCCGTAGAAGCGTTCAAACACGCGTGCAGAGCAGTGATGGAATGCTGGTGAGTCAATATGTAATGGAACCAGACACTTTCAGGACCGCTTTAAATCTAGCAGTAGAAAATAATTGGGGCGGAGAAGATTCGAGCCAAAAACGCGACCAGCTAGTACAACTAGTCACAGAATACTGCATATCAAGTTAGTCCATACAACAAACATACACACATCAATATAGAAAAGGTGTTATACAACGATGAAGTAGAAGATATACTAATAGATAGGATGCAAACACTATTCTCCGTGTATATAGAAGACGGGAGCGAGGTAGGTAAACGGAACATTACCCACCGGTAATGAGACTATCACAGATTGAAATAGCAACATTGCTAGTGCAACTACACAGGGCATGCAGCGCCGGTGAACTGCAGTTTGCACAGGAAATATGTAACAAGTTGACAAAATGCGATAGCACACAGTGCCATGCAAAAGATCAGGTACAAGAAGTATCGGATTCCGAAAATGAAGTTGAACAACAAGAACAAACTAAAAATAGTACAAAAAAATCAACCAAAACTGAATTGTTGGATGATGGATGGACCAGAGTACTATAAATCACATACAAAAATAAAAAATCAATATCTTGATTTATATGTTAACAACCACTAGTCAAGACATAACTTAGCACGCTTAACTGACTCGGTCTTGCTACGTTTCATATAACGCAATTTCTTCAAACCCTTCAGACGCTCACGAGATGCAGATTCACGCTTAGCACTCTCAAGACGTAACCCAGCTTCGTGAAGATCACGTGAAGATTTAACCTTAGCAAGACGACTCTTGCGAATAGTCAACAGACGCTGCATTAATGCAGCAACTGAACGCTCGTATACAGAGTTGCCAATGGTCAACGGAGCAGGGTCACGCTCATAGACCTTAGGACGAGATGAAAATGGCAAACTACTAACAATATGTTTAGGAATCTTTATTGGGTTAAACCTCCGAGTAGGACGACTCAATAAAGATTTAGGCTCATAAACAGAATCGCTTTTCACAACAGGACCTGAACGTAACTCACAAAGAGTACGAACACGACGAAATGAACCACAGTCAACCATAGGGTTAAAGAAACGCTTAGTAGGAACCTTCACATAAGCCTTTAATAACACTAGGTCTGACATCAATATCTTGTCCTCAAATGTTGCACGGAAACTGCCACTCTTACCAACAGGCTTCTTTATCTCACCACGGATACCAGAAACGGTAACAACACGAGAACCAACACACTTTAGAACCTCAAGCTCTGAAGTAAACATGTCCTTTATAAAAGCGGTGTTCTTCAAAATCTTGTAAGGGTTACCCTGAACCTTCAACTTCTTCTTTATCACAAAGTCCTGATTAGTACCAACGACCACACCTGTAGCCGATATACGATAATGAGGAACACGAGACCAATCCTTAACAGCAACAACACCGATACCAGGAGAACCAAGCGGACCATAGATATTAGCGAGACAATGCATATGCTCAGGGGTATACTTCAACATCTTAATACGAGTGTTGTTGCGCTCGTCCATGCAGTACACAGGCAAAGATTGAAAACGACGCCAACCGATAGAAAATAATAAGGGGTCATTAGTCTTCAAAATACGAGGAGCCCAACGATGCTTACGCAACTTCAACTGCATATAACCTGACAACTGCTCACCAGGTTGTAAACCACCAATTATCAATGGATGACCACGGTTAGAAACACGATTCTTTAAAAAGGAATCTGGTAAACCACAAACAGTTATACGCACAAATTGACCAACGTTACCAAGAGATGATAAACTTAAAGCTTCGTTATATAAACGCTTCTGCTCACTCTCCTCAAGACGAACCAATTTCTCGTTCTCAGGGTCAATAGGAGCACTAGGATCAATAACCGTTCCACTACCATCATCAGCATCAGCATCAGTATAGTTTTGAAAACATGACGCACGCAGTTCACAAAGACCACCAGCACTCCAATCATCATCAAATTTATCATCCTCAACCCTAGAATAATCTACAAAATACATATCAGCATCAACCGTAGGAGCAGTACCATACACTCGAGATGCAATCTCGTCAGTATAGTTATCAACAGTATCATCCTCCACAGAATTGTCAGACACAACAATACTATCAGCACTATCACTGTCACTAGAATATTCGTCAACAAACCCACCCGTCACATTATCCATATTACCATCAGAAGCCAACTCTTCAGGTGAATCTGAATTATCCAACGTACGAAACTTATATGAACTTAACTGAGACCTCAAAGCATCATCCTTTTTCTGAAGCTCACGCACCATCTTTACCGATTCTGAGTGGATAGGCTCCTCACCGGGCGTCTCAGTAAAATGCTCCTTCGCACGGGATAACTCTATATACATAGCGTCATCATCAAGCATCACATTACCAACATCACACTCTGGTGCATAAATATTCCGGTTCTTATCTTTGAGAGTACGACCCTCTGTCTGCACAGGACACGGGTCCTGCATATTGGTAATAGATTCAGGAATAAAATCACCAGCACCAGGGATATGAAAAGCCTGATGACCAACGATACGCGAACCATATACATAACCATAAAAAGCGGCACGGACCTTAGTTTCAGATCCTTCATTAGATACAGATTTATCAGAATCTAATAAAGCAGCATCATCGTTAGTACAAGGCTCAGGACCCAACACCTCGTGACGTAAACAGACACAATAAAAATGAGTTTGGCGCCAGGAAATACTTGCAGGCTTCTGTGATGCGATCACGCGCGCCACATTCAATACCTCAGTATTCTTGTAACGACCATACTTCAAACCGTTCAGATAAACCATCTTGGCGCCGTCGTAAATCTCGGACCAAAAACGACTCTTTAGCCGCTTCTTAGCCTTACGCAACGTACTGTTGTCAGGAAAGGACTCCAAATGGGTCACAACAGCCGCTACACGGGGAAAACCATGGGTCTGCATTATATTCAGAAACTCCAAAGTCTCCAACTCGTAACCAACACTACCGTCGATCATCACAAGCACAAGATCAGCAACCTTACAACAGTCTAACATATCTGACATTGAGTTACCACACTCTATAAGGGTTATGCGACGAGACTTAGAAGATACCAAGGTTATGGGACCCTTTATATCAGAAACACTACGCTTCGCATAATGCTTCACTAAAGATTGGATCAATGTAGATTTACCAACGCCAGATGGGCCCTGTACAACCACTACAAACGGCGGCGGTACCTCGGCAGATTTAAATATACGAGGACGACGTAAACGCTTCTCAGCAACCTCACTGGCGTGCTGCACCCTTCGATGAACAGCGTGGCGACCACCACTGAAGCTAAAAGCTTTGGGGTTATGACGCTTCTGCTTCTCAGTGATACCTTTGCGCTGCAAATCCTTACGCTTCTTCTTAGACTCCTTTATACGCGAGTTGCTACGCTTGTGAGCACGCTGAGAAGAATCAACAAATACAGCATCCATTGCGATATAAAAATATGGAATAATCATAAAAATTAGCACACGTTTACCTTACAACACATCAACAGAAGGCTATGTCGGATATCACGCGGTACCACACACAAAACCATTAACGTAACATAACGCAATATTATTTAAAAAATTATAATTTTTAAATAGGTCGCAAAGCTATAGCAGCTAAGAAGCGGCACTGCCGCCGAACTATACGTGTAACGTGTCTAGTGGCCATTGAACGTTGATGGACACATTCTAAAGACAGAGTTACAACATTTGTATAAACGATAGCGTTCTATTGCGCATGGTTCATCTTGTTCAACGCAGAATCGATATCGTTAGAAATACTTGTCAACAAATGCTGCTTAATGTCAGAAGTCATGGACGTCAAACCGCCCATCACAACGTCACCAATAGATGGCTCCTTCTGATCGGTCTCTATCTGATGCATCAGATCATCTGTCAACTCTTTATGATGCCTCTCATGGTGAGGCTCATTGCGATTACCTCGACCACCGCGACGACGAGAAAACCAGGAACCCTTACCAGAACCCGATACATCGTCACTCTTTTGAGATTTGGAACGCTTAAATAAACCAAAACCTTTCCTAGGTTTCTTCTTGTCAGACGCTAAATCACCACTATCATCTTTCTTACCCTTACCACGCAAACGCGACCGGATACCCCTCTTCTTAACACCACCAGATTTAGACGAAACCTTTACAATTTTGTCTTTCGACTTCTTAGACGAACGACGAAACGACCATTCTAAAAATGACGGGTCAGATACCTCAAATGTGTAAGCCGACGACACATGGCTTACACACAATATTGTAAAAAAAGATAATAACAAACCGATAACACGCATCTTTTTACAATATATTCAATAAAACATTATTAAACAATGTTCGCCAGAAGCACCGAAAAGCACACAGTAGACAGATGCTTGAAAAAATGACATTGTGCGCCACACGAAACAATAATGCCAAAAGCTACTCCAAAAAATATCTAAAACAGAGGCTTAGAAAAATGATCCAAAGCCATAGAAGAAGATGATGATGAAACAGCCACAGGACAACCAGGTTGACCACGACCTGAACGACCCATCTTAACAGTAGATGGTTGAGATAAAGATACCATGTCTATAGGCTGAGTTAACATCTCCATAGCACGACCCATGCCTAGACCAAAGGGAGAACGCACAGAACGATCGTTAGAACCAGAACTAGGAGGGTAGTCAATAGGAGTAGAAAGCTCCATCATTAGCAACTTGTCTAAGGAACCAGATGGTACATCTGAAACCACCACAGGCTCACTTAACGACAAACTACTACGAACAATACCACGCTTAGATGGACGCTTAGAATCACGATAAGAATAGTCAATATCACCATTCGATATACCCAACCGCTTTTCTATAACGCGCACATCACTACTACGAACGTACTCCTCACGCAAACGACGAATGTGACGGTCACTACCACCGGACACACCCTTAACAGGACGACCCACAGATTTACGCTTGGAATCCGATTTCAACTCAACAACATCCAATAAAGACCTACCGGAACCAGCAGGACGCCCAACCTTTGAGACAGACTTAGAACATGAACGACCTGGACGTACTATAGGGCTAGATTTTGATGTAGACTTAGATACAGGGTACGACAACGGCATGGCCAATATAGAAAGAGGCTGAAGAAAAGAATCAACTGGTAAACCACTTGAACGGATCTTACCCTCTATCAAACAATGCTTAACACCTTGACGCACATCCTTCTTACCAGTACGATCAACATAAGCTGAAAATATACCGATAAGATCCTCATGGTTCATAGCCGATAACGCAGCACTAGGTTCAGAAGCAACGTCAGAACCACGCAAACGACCCGCACGAACGTCAGAGTCACCACTAGCACCAAAACGACGAACAAAACGACCACCACGCTTTGTACGAGGTGACAAAAGCTTAGATGATCGAGGAACCTGAAGTGCTAAACGAGGAAACATAGCTGATAAGCATGAAGCACTAGCTTTAGAACACATGTCAGACTCTTCCACAGAATCAATGGTAGAAGCATCGTTATCATGAAATGACCAACGAGTCTTATTAGCAAAACCTATCGATAAAATACCATCATCACGAGCCACACCGTCCTCCTTCAATAACTCCTCATCAGGACGAATCAAATCCTTAGGATCATGAGTTACAGAACTCTCCAAACCCATGACAGATGCCGGAGGCATATCCTCAACAACAAGAACGTCATGAGGCAACTCAGATGCCAATAAACTGTTCTTATCAAGAGAATGGATAGTCAAACGGTTATGAAGAGGATGCTCACGGTTACCTGAAAATAACATCTCAAGCACCTCATGGTCGGTAAAACGACCACTATGACCACGACCTGTAGACGGAGCTGTTACAGGACGAATAAGAACATTCAAATTCTCAGTAGTCACACCAGATGACACCGACTTCTGAGGGTCGTTTATATGACTCATCTCGGGAAACGTCTCCTCAGGAACATCACAAGAATTACGAGATGGGTCCCAAATATTCAATGAACAAACCCATAAATCAGGTAACTTATCGGTATCAACAGAAACTGGTAAACGGCGCCATTTCTTGCAACTCTCACATTGGGCCCAATTCTCCACTGTTGTCACCGGAAGAGGCAATTGCTCAGGAATAGCAGACGGACGACCAACCTTAGCATCCACACGACGTGCATGTTTACCATTACGTGCAGAACCACGAGTACGCATAGGAGAAAAGGATCGACCACGTGCTGCTGAACTACCATCCTCAACAACATCAGGATCCACGTCAACATCAGATTCCGCCTTTAGATGAAACGAACCTGAATTAGACAATTGCGATGATTCTTCTATAGTGGTACCAACACGCTTATATAAATCTTCAGGAATAGATGTTAAAAGCGCAGATTCCGCTAGAAGAGATGATTCTGGAAGCAACACCTCAGCAAGCGCTCTAAGAGGCCCAGGGATACTTGTAGCTCCTACAGCACGTTGCACTACAGATTTATCAGGGAAGGACATGCGTTTCAACGACGCAGAAGACTTACTACCCAAATTCTTTGGATGCACATTACCATTTAAAGACAGTTCAGATTTAACAAAAATATCCGACACACTACCATAACTAAGCATGTCACTCTCGCCAGGCACAGAATTCATACCAGATAACCCAGGTAATGGGACGGAACCTAGCTTTAAAGCTAGATGACTCAAATCAAATGCTTTCATTGTAATAAAAGACATCAATCATACACTTCTCCGTTGTATATGCATGGGCAAAGTAATACTCGATACACTCTTCACATCGATAGTTTGTAGCTACGCACACATATCAGAAATATGATATCCAAAGATAGTATGGATAATCATCTAGTTGCTATTGCCAGTTTCACGCAGCAACGCGGCAACGCCGCGTGACACTGCCAACCAAAACGCAAGTAATAGAGTGACCAATATTTTAAGCCACTCACATTTACAAGCGTCCAGGCGCAACGTGAATGTAATACAGACACAACTGCAGACTCCACTGCGCGTAATCCCCCATAGGAAAACCATTACAATATCAGAAAATTCATATAGATTCTCAAACTAGTACCCTAAATGAACTATATAACATTAAAAAGATATATAAAATAATATAAACACTGTTAGTACCGCTAACACATAACATAGTAGCGATCATTAAAAGAGATTTGATTTACGCATTATCTTCTTAAAATCAGACTCATTTACAACACCGTCATTGTCACGGTCAGCCTCTTTAATCATCTGAAGTGAAATTAGTAGAAAAGTGTAAAAAGTCGAAATAAAGCCGCACAGATAGATAAGATGATAACGAAACACACAGAAACTCTCTCTAACGGTACACAATATACACACAACACTCAAAACAATAGAATAACAATTATAACAACGGATCCAACATGTGTGTAATACTTACCTCACCTAATTCGTCATCAGATATCACCTCACCAAGCTCATCAGCAACACGACGAAGGTCCTGTCATAACATATTACAAACAACGTAAATAACCAACCTTCAAACTTATCGTCCCAGTAGTAGGGTCAGCAAATAATTTAAATGCCTTGGAAATCTCTTCCATAGGATCACGGTCAAGCTAGATAATGATTGCCAAAAAAAAATGGAATATGACAAATACAACTGGTAGATAACCATGAAAATAGCAAGAATCAAACAATAATAGAAAAAATGTAATATAAACCTACAATTTTTGTCTTAACAATCTTAAAGTAGTCGTCATAAGATACACTACCGGTACCTTCCTTGTCAACGACACTCATTATAGAATACATCTCATCAGTACTAGGGTCAAAACCTAAGGCCTTAAGGACCATCTTAAATTCACGCGCCTCAATATGACCTAAATAAATACTAACAAATAAAAAATATATACGAACTTACCCGAACCATTGGTATCAAAAATAGAAAAAGCGTCCTTTATCTCACATAACTGCTCGTCACTAAGCTCACGACGACGACGACCTGGAAGACCAGGCACAGTACTGCGCCCGGGGTTCTTACCCGCCCATTTAACGCTAGACATCCCGTATTGCCAAAAGTATGGCAAATACGTAGAAATAAAGTAACACACAACCCACTTTTATACAAAGAAAATTACAATAACACATATTATAGAAGCATACAATACAACACAAAACCTTCCACACACAAACGAACACGCCGGGAACAACTACGTACGCAAGAGACACAGAAGTAGACATACATCATAAAAAAACAACCGATGTAACATCATATACAAAATATTAATCTATATTGTGACCAAAAGTGATCAAGTTATAGTGACAATGTCTGAGCAGAGGGTCAGGCCGCCACTGAAAAAATCTATAAAACAAATCGAAAACAGGCACTCAACGGCCTGAAAAGTATAAACCTTTAAGATACACGCTACAAACTGATAAATCATCATAAGAAGTCAACTTTATATTAGTACGGTCACCAGGAACAAGAACTATACGAACACCGCCTAACCGCTCTACAAAACTAGAATCGTCAGTTAAACCACTATAGTCACCAGAAGAAAAAGCAGAAACATAAGCCCGCTTCAAAATTGATGCACGAAATGCTTGAGGGGTCTGAATAGCATATAAACTGGAACGATCAGGAGTACTAACAACAAAAGCAGTACCAGAATCACTATTACCCACCTTTATAGTGTCAAATACACATACAGCAGGTAAAGCACCACCAAACTCAACCGATGCTGAAACCAAACTTTGCAAAGCAACACGACCTAGCAACGGACGGACAGAATCATGCACTAATGCTATATAGTCAGCACGACAACAACCTGGCATGTGACTGCCTAACGCATTCTTACGCTCCAAAGCATTGTAAACACTACCAGCACGACTAGCGCCACTAATACACAAACTTATTATCTTGTAACGAGAACCAGAGAAGCCAATCGCAGAATGATACGCTTCAGACCACGACGGTGATGTACTCAATATACAACAATGCTCTTCTAAATCATAAACGAAAAATGGAAACTTTCCCAAATGAATTTTGTAATCAGAAATACGATGGGATGATATACTATCTAACCCAGGTGCACAAACTTTAACAGGACACGCCTCACTGAAATTATCCAATAGGTTCTCACGACACTTAGAACTTTCACCCAAAGAGGCAATGTGACGCAATAGAGGACCTGTATAGGTATCAATAAGCTCTAATACCTTCAAATTCCACTCACGCTTAGTAGATATCACCAACTCACTAACAATAGGCGATCTCAATAACTCAGTAAAAGAGTAGATGAACACCGGTATACCGTGAATTGAAACAAACTGCTTGCTAACAGGACAATCGGAACGTAAACTCAGCTCAGAATTGTCACTATCACGCAAATGATGCAATGTATCGCTCATACGCTGACCAATACCTCCACATAACAATATTGCCTTAACTGGTAATTTAGATGCAGACTCAGCAACAAGACAAGCATGATCAGACTTTAAATGATCACTTGAATTCGAAACAACAGACCTAACAGCCACGTGACTAGGACTCGCAAGATTCCTTACGCACCTTGAGACACGAATACCACACAAAAATAAATCTCTACTAAAAGGTGTTAAAGAATTTGATGAAATTGAACCCCTAAAACCACAGAAGGCTACTGTTAACCGCCATAACTGACATTGTAACACACAGAACAATGACCAAAAAAACATCGGAAACCGCACCAAGGAATAAAACACATAACCATAAATAATCAAATTTTAACAAGATAAATAGATAGAGAAAATGTCTTGCACAAAGTCATTACAAAATACACATGAATTACATGAGACAACGACAAACTTGTACACGCACACCACGATGCACCCGCCCATAACTATAAAACCAAATATACATATTTATTAAAGATAAACTAGTATATACACAACACACTTATTTGAAACACGTAATTGCAAATGTGCGCTGGAAGAAGCTTAAGACGTGGCGGATTACACGCCGCTTTTTTCGCCAAAAAACAAACCCAATGGAAAAGGGAAAAATGGAATAAAAATGTTGCATATCCAAAACATCAACATAAGACAACTGTATAAGGATGCAATAATGATACGGTAATGAATATTTACCGTAATTTAAATCGAATATGGACGCTGGCCATTGTCATACTCTTAGGCATCAAATTGAAAAATGGATTATCATTGGTTCATAAAGAAACACAAACAAATATCGATCTTATCAGACCTAATGGATACATCGACTGCAGCCAAGGAAGTATAAGCGAATTGAGAGAATATGTCATGAGACCAGGAGCAGCAGATGTTGCAAAGCCACCAAAAGGTCTGGCAGAAATGATCAATCATGCCACGAAACAGTGGAACATCAAAGCAGTCACAAGAAACTATACACTACCAAACATACCTGTACGTGTAGTATGCGTAATGAAACTCGAATGTATACAAACTCAAGGATGTGATGAACTCATTTACATTATACCCTATCACGAAGCTATGCAAGCAACTGAACCCACAGCAACAGACACTAATACAAAAGATACAGTCAATGTTTCTATCGTTAGACAAATAGAAGAAACAAAGACAACATGCTATAGGAATTTTGAAGATCTACAAACAAAACAGTTGCCATCATGGCAATACGCGACAGAATGCAAGACATCGTGCTACCCTGCAGTATACCGGATTACACTCAAACATCTAACAAAAATAGGACAAAATGAAATTATAAGGATAGAGTACTATCTGGGGAAACCTTTTGTACCAATGCAACCGTTGCTTCCAGTAGAACAACAACAAAGGGTCATGTTTGGAATAGTCACACTCGTACCCAGCGTATACAATGTGGATATACAGGAAACGAGATTCACATTCACTGGGAAATTTAATGTTATGGTCATGTCTAGACATCTGTATGCCAATTTACAAGAAGTGGAAAAAAACGTATACCTATGCGGAACTTTCAAAAATGTACAGATGCTATCCTCAGGTGAAGCCATGGTTATAGGGTTCGACTTCCATGATACCATGGAATTCATACCACTACTACAAAAAATTATAAGGGTACCTATGTGGACGATAAGCGAAACTATAGCTATCACGGAAAATTACAATGTATATAACGATGCTTCACCTATGGAAGGACATTTTTCACTGGAGAAATTAAAAAAAAATCAACGCTGTATCTCTAAGTGCAGAGCAAGGACAAACAATGTAGCATCAATCGAAGCTCTGTTCCCAGATGAAGCTACAAAACTAAGGTATTATGATGCAAGCGGAAGCATCACACAAATGTACCTCGCAAAAGATAAGGTATTACCAAACTACAAAACTGTAGAACTCGTACCAAGATTCCCATTAATAGGAGGATGGAAAACAGTATTCACTATAGAATACCGCATACCGCAATATATGAAACTAGAACACGGAAATCAAGTGCAAGGGTCGAGTAATGATAATACCAAGCTGGACTTAGGGATCAGCAACTTTGGCAGGATGTTGGCGAAATCGATAAAGTATAGCACCGGCGAAATAGCAAAATTACGCGTACCGATATATCCAGCCGTATACTATATGTACATACACGAGGCAACGCTGACGATTGCCCTACCTCCAGGCGCAAAGGTTATACACATAGACGTGCCCAGCACGGCGACTTTTGAGGTCAAGAAATCGAGAAAAAAGTTTATTGGCATATATGTAACAACGGAAGAAATTCATATACAGCTCTCAAGACTTGTACCGTATAACATGGAAAGATTCACCACGGAGTATGTACAAGTGGAATATGCTGCAACTACCACATGGATCACCAGGGTAGTCGCAGCCGCTGTCATCCACATATCCACAGCTTACGCAATTATACAAGCATGGAAAGAAATATATACAACCTACACACAATACTTCCATTATAGAAGTAGAACGGACACATAAAACACATTGGCGTGTGTGGCACGCGATGTCGTTACATGTCTAACCATACTAATGATCGCACACATTCTAATAAAGGGCAATATTGTTCTACAATAGTGCCGGTAAAAGTCAAAATTGGACTAAACAACATAGAGAACTATCCAAAGAGGTTTAAATAATAATACACGCGCACACACATACAACCCTGGTACCGTTCATGGATTCAATCACAGGCTAATTCATATAACCGGATTCTTAAAAGGGATACCTACAACATATTGGCATCATGTGTGGACTCTAGAGAGAAGACAGGATCCTTAACAGCGACATTACATCCTGGTATATACGAAACAACATGAAAATCGCAACAACATCCTTCTTGGCATTAGGGCTGCTACCGTACCTACACTGTGAAGCAGTTGGGAGCAACTCGCGGCCAGAACCAAATTTTACAAAACAACAATGCAGTAACATCAAAGGATGCCCAGATCTCATTATAGATGCATATGACAGAATAGATGATACTTACAAAATACAACCGAGATGGAACAAAGCAACACATTCGTTACAACAACTGCTGAGAGCAAGGTACCCAAGGATGCTTACATCACAATTATTCATGAAACCAAAATATGAAATACAACTACACAGATTCACACAAATTAAACGCAAAAAAACAAAAAAGAACAAGAACAAGAATATAAAACAAAATAATAATAAGGTTACAAAACAAAATAAAATTGAAGATGCGTCATTCATGGGCCAAGATATCACAATAAATTCAAAGGATACTGATGACTATAGTGAAGAAACGGTAGAAGCGGAAGATACAAAAAAACTGTCACAGTTCTTGCTCAATTTTCAAAATAACCAATATTTTGGGGAAATTGAAGTTGGAACACCACCTTCAAAATTTGTTGTGGTAAGTTACAAACAAAAATAAGGATATAAGACACACAGGTATTCGACACGGGATCCAGCCAGTTATGGATACCATCAACGCAATGTTCAAGGTAAGTAGACCCTACTTAAATCCACACAAACTCACCTTCATACAGTAACGGATGCGCAACCCATCGACGATTCGATCCAAACAAGTCTAACACTTACAAAAACGCGGAAAACGATGCTGCAGCGGCAAATGCATATATACAATATGGCACAGGGGAATGCGGTAAGTGCCATAAAATGTATTTCCTATTGTTCAACAGTGCTGTCACTAGGATTTGATACAGTAAGGATAGGACCTATGGAAATTAAGAACCAGTCAATCGGACTAGCAACATATGAAAGCGATCATCCATTTGGAGATCTACCGTTTGATGGACTAGTGGGACTGGGTTTCCCAGACGCAACCTCTGACAGCAACAAAAATCAACTACCTGTTCTAGACAATATTGTACATCAGGTAGGTACACCTTGGTACAACCCAACAACAAAAACATTCAGAAACTGCTCAAGCGCAATATAGTAGCATTCTATATGTCAAAAGACCCTAAACAACCGGGATCACTCTCGTTCGGAAGCATTGACCCGATATACGTAATGCCAGGACATAGCCCGTGGTGGTTCCCAGTTGTATCCACTGATTTCTGGGAAATAGAAATGGATTCAATACTAATCGATGGAAAGGCAATGCAATTTAAAGGAAAGTATAATGCGGCTATAGACACTGGAAGTAGCCTTATTTCGGGACCATCAGAAGTAATAGAACCACTACTAGAACAACTGACGCTTCACACTGACTGCACCAATATAGATGAAATGCCCACAATATCCTTCGTGTTCGTAGACATGATGGGTAGGAAAATCAAATTCGACCTCTCGCCCGAAGATTATGTCGAAAGAACTGATGATTTTGACGAGTTCATCGAAGATGTACATGATAAAAATAATGGAACTACACAAGGTAGTGACGCTGGACAGTCAGGGCAATGCATTATTGGGATCATGGCAATGGACGTACCAAAACCAAAAGGACCACTATTCGTTATGGGTGTCAACTTTATTAACCGCTACATGGCCATATTCGATCGGGACGCAATGGCAGTTGGCATAGTGCCAGCTGCGCATAAAACAGACGAAAGCGACAAACAACGTCAACTACAACACGATTTTGATATAACACTAGGTAGGGTCACAAAAGCAATCTTATAAAACAATGCAGGCAACGAATCGAACCTAAACGCAGCTACTGCATTATTCATAATAGTGATGTTCGCAGTAGTCATTACGCCAGTAATATACTTCACGATGAACGAATGATCAAACGAGTAGTAGTGTATCGGAGACAACCGAAACTATGCTGTCAATATGTCCAATAGTTTAATGTTTCAACTAAAGATTAACTCATATACGATAACGCTGTATACGCAAGATCCAGCCCCGCCATACCACAAACAAATACACACATAGATAGTAGATTCGGGTGTTAGACAGTGACAAGCCGCAGAAGATGGGTACACACCGTGCCACAAAGAAGATTACAGCGACATCGGACGGCAAGATGGACTAATCAGTCGCCACTACATCGAGCAATGCTCAAAAATACAGCCAAACGATGAATTTAATTAGATATTACCTAATGAATTACATTGGTATCACAGAATCCCTGGAACCTTGGATGACGCCACAGCAGGTGGGGAACAAGGCGCGGTGGATATGATAATACAAGCAGCAAAGACGGCTATACAGCCTCTAGAACGCGACAAATTAAAAATGTCTGCTATCAGGACGTTTGTCAAATTCAGTCGTGTGCTACGTGCGCAAACCGGGGCTGGACGGACCAGCAATCAATCCTGGTTGAAACTTGGCGCATTCGCATCTACTGGCGATGCGGAACAGGAAGCCTGCTGGAATGACCTTAAGAATGCCGAATTAGCCGTAGCAAATACTGTGGAAGCAGCACAAAGAAGCCATGAAGGGGTAGACTGGGCTAAATGGGAGAAACTAATCTCCCATAAAGAGATATTGCAACATATGAAGCAGACATATGACGCTAATATCGCGATGATAGAACGCTCTGCTGCCGAAGAAGGGGATCTAAGCCACCTGGAAGGTGACTGGGAACTATACGAAACTGCAAGGCAAAACTGCAGGCAGGCCATGCGCACTGTAAACAAGATAGTTGCTGACGGATCAAAAGCACTATGGGTCTCCCAAAATAACCCGCCAGTATGGAAAGTAGACACTAATGAGGTAAGGGTTTATCAAAGTGACACTCATAGACATACAGTGGCTCGAGAGCGACCAATATTGGCAAGCATTCGTGGAAAAACATGCCATGTACTCCCAGTCTGGCGATGCACCTGATCCAGAAGCACCAGCCGTAATAGATGCCAACAAAGCAAGCTGGAACTCGAAAATGGCCAAATTCAACGAACGAACAGATACACCCATGCTATATGACTATATGCATCACCTTCCAGCATGGGAATACTATGACATCAACAGAAAACAATTCTACGAACATATGACATATTTCCTCCTGCGAACCGGTGATGATTTCAGACATTTCCCAGATATGCCACCATGGCAGTGGATTACCCATATCGAGGACCTTAGGTTCAAACAGTTTGCAGTCATGCAAAGACGCAAAGAACGCAGACAGATGGAACGGGTAGCACGGTTCGAACCTGATGATTTTGGAACAGGAGAAGAACAGACCGGTGAGGAGGCTCAGATGGCTATTATGGCACACGAGAAGCACGCCACCGAACTAACATTGGCAAAACTTATGGGCAACTTCGCATTCTTATGCGACCCTCTAGTACCGGTACAATCACGATTCCAACTTCAGTACGTACTGTCCAAGGACAAACACGCCGAACATGGTGGAACACGCCTACTATCGTTGGGAGAAGATGTCAATGCACTTTTCGTACTACCAAGGAACGCCGCAATAGAAGCGCCGATACCGTCGCCACTGGAATGCTTTCATAACATGATGGAACATTACAGAATATCTGGGTTACGCATAAATCCGACATATGCAACGAGAGCAGAACATCAAACTGAACTTATTCACCAGAGAGGCCCCAACTGGCTCAAACTACCACAAGAGACGGTCATGGAGGCATACCTCCGACGTATGCGCTGCGATGACCCATTGAGAAGCGCATTTGAAGAATACGCCAGTGAACTACGTGAAAGGATCGCAGGTGCCACAGAAGTACCGCCAGAACAATGGGAAAATGCAATTGCTGCGGTAGAGGAACGCGCCAAACAAGACTACATTGCCGTAAAGAAGTTGGAGGGAGCAAAACACGAAAAGAATGCTCAGAAACTGATAGCACAAGATCTACAGAAACTTATAAACGATGGACACGTATTGGTCATCGACCCCGCCACCAATACCGCGCTAACAGACGCCGCGCAGGTAGCAACAGAACTCAAATGAAAACACTGCATAATATCGATATATCTATGTATGGCACCATTTTCATACCTAAGACGAGCTACTGATGCTAGGATACTTCGTCGACTGTTAAGCCTTGACGAGAGCGCGCTGCCGCAAAAAATCAAATTTGTGGCCGCCAAGGCGCTTGGAGCCAAACAGCCAGATGTGCACGACAGCTGTGATACTAACTCTCAATCATTACGGCAGAAGGCTTTTAAACGCCACGATGTCGCAAAAGGCGATCTCGCAGCCCTTATACAAGAAAGGGTGTCACACACCTCCCCGGAAGAATGGACGACAAGTGCAATAATAGCCGTTGTCTATTACCTATCAAGGGCACAGGTGCCATTACTAAGAGATACTGAAGATATCTTCCGCCGGAAGGTCGCGCAAACTGATGAACTCAACTTAATAGACATATGGCAAGCGCTCAGTGCCGCCAGCGCGTTACGAGTTAACATCCCAGTGGAGAATCTGAAGAGACACATTGAAGTCAACACTCATCAGCTACTGACTGGGGCAAGATGTAAAAACGTCTCATCGGCGTTAAATGCGATATCAGCATATGGCGAGGCTTTGGCGACCAGTACCTTGGTAAACATTGCAAAGCATTATCTTACGGATATGCAACAGACGACCGATTTCAAGGATGCTTCTAACTTCGTAAACGCACTGGTGTTGCAAACCAGCTTCACAATGAAGGAAAGGCGAAATCAGTTGGGGGATCCCAAAGAAACGGGACAACAGGATATATGGAAATCCCTCATCAAAGCAGTATATGACGTAATACAAGATTCTAACGAACGCATGGAACCGACATGTAATGATCTAGAGGGGATGGCAGACGTACTAGATGCAATGGTCATGTTCAATGACGTGAACCACATCGACGATCTACAGTATACTCAGACGGTACAACAGATACATAGATTGGTGGACAAGATACACAAATGTCTAATAGAGTCCCTGTCAGTGGTGGACTTACAATCACATGCGCCTGAAGATAATGACAAATTGTCAAGACGTAACGTTGAACCAAGGGTACTCAGGGTGATACTGCGGTGTTTGATTAGCGCGAGGCTAAACCATAAGGGGCTACTTGGAGCTATTGTAGATGTCTATCGCAAACGACCTGATGTTTGGAGCGCTCAAGGTAAGAATCAAGCAAATCACTGATATGCCTTAGGAACCGCAGACATACTGCACAGTGTCGTCTTTTTTGGAATACAAGGACCAGAGGCAAGAGATATTGCAAAACATATGATAGAAAGACACAAAAATGGATTATACCGCCATGTAGACCCGAATGAAATCATAGTGGACGCCTGTGTACTGGCTGTGCAGGACGATACAGAGCTGTGCCATAGACTCGTTGCAAGAATACTAGAGGAAACAATTAATGACCACGAACTGGCACTAGCAATGCTTGTTATGCAACTTAGCAATATAGGGTATGCTAGGATTCCTCTCAAGACGATCGCAAAGGTAGTAAACAGGTTACGAGACGTCGCAGTTGGTATACAAACAAACACACACACACATCCCAGGTGACACCAGATTCTGGCGCAGAAATAGATTATACCAGCTCCTGTAAAAGATTAAAAGATATCTGTCAAATTGTTCTAGAGAAGTGTCACGAGGACGCGCGCTGAGGCGGAGACACATCGGAACTGAAGATTAGACACATAAGCTATGGATCGCCTTGATTTCAATCAGGCAGCGCAAAATGCACAAGCCATGCCTCATAACCAACAGGAAGTAAGTGAAGAAGGTTTCGAAGTAATGCCGTGCAGAAACAGATGCAAGAGGAGGCGAAGCGTGAGTAAGTGAATCTATAACACAAGACTAGAACACACAGGAGCATATTGGAAGCTAGACGCATGACACTACGCACACTATTGACTGTGGAAGCGCAAGAGAGACGTAGGTTGTTACACATGGTAGTCATGATGAACAGTTAACCGTATAGCTATGGTCAAGCCGGAGAAAGCGACACAGATTGAAAACTTCCTACTACAGGTATAATGAATCTCTTAAGAATCAACATAAATGTGCCATAGACCACGTTCAAATCTGGAAGACGCAGTAAAATGGGAGACGACGAACTCAAACATCTTATAGAGGTAAGCGATGACCTGCATAAGATCTAAAATAATGTACAAATGGATGGCCTAACAACATAACTTGCATAAACAAATGTATAGGCCATGACAGCGGGGAGCTCTAATACAATATCAAACATCAAGGTAGGTGCCCTAATTATATTATGACAATAGTGTAGATCCAGCGAAAACGCTGGAACGACGATTCAGACTCCGATACGGAGATCTAAATAGTGGAAAAATGTAGTGGTGCCGATGAAACGGCCGAAGATAGCGAATCGCCAGATATCGGCTTCATCACGCAAACGCACTTGTTGAGTTGCCAGTCGTCCTCTGTTGACGGCTTTACAGTATCTAAAGAGCGTTCAAACGTCCCGCTAAGCAGGACCACGCCATTAGGGCCACTGCAGATGTGCTCAAAGCGAACTCCACGACTCTAAAAAATATTTAAACACTCTACAGATACACATACCTCAGGGGTGCTGACTGAACACACGAGCTGTTGGCGTGCAGGGTCCCAAATGTCAACAGTTGATACGGTAGCCTCGCAGCCGCCAGTAGATACTGCCAAATCCCCAGTTATAGTAAATATCAGTGGGTTCAAACGACCAGGACGAGCACCCCTAAAAGAACGATGTCTAGATGCGGCAGGACCACCCTTGGTCAGAGATATCATATCTAACATGGACTTCCCCTGCTTATCAGTATCAGTCCCGGATACTAATGAGCTGCCTGCCGTATCGTTGGCATCGGTATCATTCTCTGATCCCTCGGTGGTGCCCTTCTTGTCCTCCTCGGCACCACGGCCAAACACGCAGCTGCTATGCAGGTCCTCAACCAACTGGAAATCGTCCTTATAGGTAAAGCGCTCCATTGGAGTAGTGATCCAATCATTGCTTTCGAAGTTCATCATAGGCCATACGACAAAATTGTAAGGATATGGCAACTCTTCTGCATCTTGGTCCTCAGAAGTTTCACTGCCCATGTAGCGCTTGCATCGAGCAATACCTGCCATTAGGTCGTAAGTAGCACAATATAGATGAAAGTCATTATTACCAAAGGCTAAAGAAGTAGCATAATCGTCTTTTGATGACAAAAAACCCATCTTCATCACACGTACGTCCTCATGGGTTGTACATATCACAACCTCAGACTGAGCATTACTTATGGCAACCAAACGCTCATCATGACTAACAGCCATATCAGTAATACGGCCAAGTTTCATGTGCTTTAGTATCTGCTGGTCAGTATCGTCCATGTCCACATACTTGGTTTGATTGCGTAAGTGCATCTCCATTGAACGCAGTGGCATCGGGCGCTCCGAGAATGGGCTTTTCACATGGTCATACGGAAACCGCAGATCATAAAAGTTGAATTTTCCATCCTCAAAACCACCAGACATAAGGCTGAAACTAAAACCACGAAAATTATACATGCAGGATATAGCTCCAGCGTGACATCGATTTAGACACATCACAGGATGACCAAACTCGCCCTTTACGCCCACTCTTAGGTCAATTACGTTTATATCACCTAGAGCACTAGCAAGAAATACCAGTGGGCTGCTACAGTCCTCCGCTGCCGAAAGGTGAGTGCACGTTCCTCCCAAGTCAGGTACGCCATCAGTCATACGTGACGAATACACGCCTCTCGAAATCCTACTGATGCATTTACCAGTCTCAAGGTCATGGTACACACCAGCAGTAGAATCACGGCAAACAGATAGCGCAGTGGAAGGCGCATAAGGTGGAATGACTGAATGCAACGACGGAAAGATGCATGGTGCAGAGAGATGTCGCTTTATGCTGCGATCTACCTCCGCATCTTCACCCCGAAACAAACTGGTGATGTCAGACTCGAAGAAACAACCGCTCTGAAGATGCGCTAAAATACACTCAGAACGACATGTTAGAAGAGATTCTATCAGCACATTGTAATCCGTGAGCAGCATCATCGTGACCGCCGCCCAGAGGACGAACTGCGACTGCACGAAAGGGACAACATAGGTAAGGCGGCACGCCCACCAAGCGGGCTATTTTATACGTTACACTCCACTAACATAGTGGCAACATGAGCTCATGTGATGCGTGACACGGCCAAGTGAATTGGCGCTAAAGTGTTCTACTTGTAAAAAAGCGATACGACGCCTGCACGAGACCCCGCGGCGCGGATAACGGGTTACACCAGGGACGATTAGTACTGTTTCCAGGCGTACCAATACGAATTAAATTCTCTAAAGAGCTGTTTTCCCCGTGGTCAAAGAAAAATGCTGCACAAATACAGCGGTATACGGCTATACAGCGATAGAGGAGATGAGCAGCGTGACACAGGTGGGAAATGGGCCCACAACACGCTCTGAAAAAATGTTAGATGTCTTTTAGAAAGGGAAATAGATGTGTACTGGGGTTAGAGCCGCTGGCTCAGAATCCTATTCATGGGGAGGCTGGCCGCCACCCTCCCCATCCCCGTAGGATGCCGCGGAAAGTCACGATCCCGGCCACAACGCAATCTATAATATATCGTAACTGTTGGACTCTTTAAGAGTGTAGCTGGATTGGTAACGAGATATACTGAGCAACACTAGACCCATCAGACGACACCGACCACGGGCGGACCCTCAGTAGTTGTGCAAGAAAAACCAATAAAACGCGCAATCAGCCACCACCCAACGATAGCCAAATACACATAAAGTGAAAATTTAAACTAAACACGTCTTGCAAGATGGATTGTGACATTCTCTACGTAGACCCCAAGGTGGAAGCCAAGAAACACAAGCTCAAGAGACTTGTACAGAACCCCAACTCATTCTTCATGGATGTGCGCTGCCAAGGTTGCCTCACCATCACGACCGTATTCAGCCACGCACAAACGGCTGTCATATGTGGCAGGTAAGCTCAGAAACTACATATCCCACTACCCACCGGTGTCGTACATATGTTACGTAACGGAGGCGATTACCAGGGGACGTGGTTGTGACCATGACTCTACTTCTTCTTGCGTATATATCGAAATGACACTGCTTGATTACTGGGTGTTATAAGATTTTCGTATTTTGCGTTCAAATTGTTGCTATTTGTGGAGTGCCGGTACTAATGCTATGTTACGTAAAATATATATTTGTCGCATCTCGATATAATCTATTGCAGCTGCAACGTTGTCCTCTCGGAACCTACAGGCGGAAAGTGCAGACTCACCAAGGGATGCTCGTTCCGCAGGAAAGTCGAGTAAGTGAGACTTGACCTGGGCGAGGAGGACTGGTCAATGTAATGGCGGTAGCCACGTATTGCTCATGGATACGCGTATTTTGCGGTAATCGCGATCTTAATACGAATTATGACCTTTAATTCTCGTAATACAATCGTTGTGTACTCTACACACCTAGCTAGCTATATAAAGGGCGACGTGTCTCAAAATAGGGGGACCTCACCTCGGTAAGAACTGCAATACATATCTTAGTATTTCACGCTGTATTCGCCATGGAACTGTAGCCAAGTAGGGAGCACGCCACCAGTAGCATTGAAGTACACCGGATCATCGCGGCACCAAATAATACACACCTGGTCAATATGATGGAGAAACGTGCAATTTAACAGTAAAAAGGATCGCAATGATGGCTTCTGCCGAGCGCCAGGCGCTCATAAGGCAACATAACAAGCTCAAAATGGAGCTGGAAAGTACGAATAGATATAGATACATCTCATTAAATACAGATATCACCGCCGAAATACACAAATTAGAACGTGCCAACGACTATCTTAGACGACAGAACATGAACATGAGGACTATGGTAGAGGGAACACAGACAAGTTCATCATCCACCGATTACAAGTAAGACAAAAGAGACGCGATTTTATCATACGCAGAAACAATGTCGTTAGATCAAATATGTTTGTTGACGCACTGACACATGCAGCAGCTGCTGGAGAGGCTGCCACAGGCGAACTGCTGAAACAAACACGTACAATAACAGACGACTTCGCCAAAAAACTACAAATATTCCAAGATGAACCAAACACTACATCAGGAGAGAGAGTGATACAAGATATCATTAGGTGCGCTGATTTGGTGAGAACCGCAAGCCCTAGCCTATCCTGTAAAGAGTCAGCAGCCGATTCAACGTCAGAATCGGGCAGCCCTGCCGCAAGAGGGTCACCGAGAAAGGATAGCCTGACGGCATATGGCAATAATAGACACTCCGTATAACATTATCGCATGTGTATACAATACGCCACTAACGACACAAACAAACGAAAAACAAAAAGGTCTGCCCACTAGACCGCTTACAGCAGGCGCTGATGGGAACACCCCTTGACCACAGATTATGTAATGTAGATGACACGGGACATTACAATCACAGTTACTTGCGCATAGCAGTCTTAGTGATCTTCTTTGGGACAGCCGCCTGCCTGGCCTGAGCGGCACCCGGGGCCTTAACATTGGCACCCTTGAGCTTCTTAGCCTTCTCCTTGGCCTCGGCGATCATCGCCTGCTTCGCGTCCTGCAATATTATAAAACCAGTTGATATACAACAAATGTAGCTCATCGTTACGGCGAACAAAATAAGCCAAAACAAAGAGCGTTAATATACGAAGGTCACTAGGCCCTGGTCGTGAAATCTAAACTAGGGCCACTCTACCTTCAAACAAAAATGATACATACCATCTTAGCATTCGCCTTAGCGGCAGTAGCACGCTTGGCCTTCAACTCCTCAAGGCTAAGACCCAGAAATGCCTTCTGGTATCTAGCGGCCTTCTTAGAACGACGACGGTGGGACACCTCCGTCTGGAACTTCTTGTTGGCCTTACGCCAGCTCTGGCGAATCGTCATATCAAAATAACACAAAAACCAACCGGAGTCCACTTAACCTTGGCAGGCTTCACGCGCTGCTTGTGGAGAGATGCGGACTTAGAGCTAAGGAAAAAGTACACCTTCCCGTCCCGGGCCACAAACTTCTGACCACGGCCAGGGTAAACCCTGTAGTCACTAAAAGAGCAGAGCTCGGTCTTAATCGTCGTTGTCACCGTCGCCATCGCCTGTGAAAAATCAATACGGTACGCAAAGGGACGACTCGAAAGCCGGGCATGATTACTTACCGATACAAGCTAAACGAAATATAGTGGCTAATGTGCGCCGATAATACACCGGCAAAAAGTGAACACGAACGCTATTTCCGACAACAAGGAAGTCACAGACGCAACGACCCCACCACGACTAATAACACCAACGAACGTACACCGACCGCTAAACTTATATTCAAGGTTCAGAATCACCCAATTCAAATGGAATCAACTCCCTTTGCGATTTTACAGAGGAGATGATTTCAGGAGTCGCGTCTTTGTACGTAGACTCAACCCCGAATTTTTCACGGTTCACACGGAACATTTCGTCCGCTGACCAGCCACTGCTCTCACCAAAAGTCTCTTTGCAATGATCATCGAATTGGCGTACCGGCTTGTCACGCTTAACGCTCTGTGAATCGCCCAAAGGCGGTCGGCGAGGAGCGGACGAGTTGCGTACACGTAGATATGATGCGTAAGCAATCGGAAAGTGTTCACGCAAATTTCCAGATCGAAACTCTTGTACCAGATCCAAAATACCACGCACAAATGGTTTTACGTGATATGTCATGAACCTTGGCGTCCGCTTGTTCACAATGTCCTCTAGCAACTGAAACGATACCCACTTGACATCAGAAATCTCATAGTCTGTCATGGGACGCATTTTCTCGTCCTCACTAACGCCAGGCACGAAAAATAGTTTAATATTGCGACACTCAACCTCCCCGGCTAGGTAAACGTCAGGGTGAATCAAATGGCTAACGTCGGTGCCAACCTCCTCCAAAATCTCACGCACAGCACAAGCACTGTCATCCTCAGATTCGTCACTCTTGCCACGAGGAAACGTCCAATGTTTGCTCTGGTAGCTTTGAACTAATAAGATCTTGTCACATGCCTCGTTCAACAAAATACCACCACGAAGAGGGATACGTCGATTATATTTTGACCAGGCACTTATCAACTCTTTCTCCTCTGCTTCACGTACATACGAACTTAGAAGAGGACAGTCTCGGCAGACAAGTGAAATAAAATTGCTAAATCGCATATGACCCAGCTCTTCCGGGTGACGTATCACCCACTTGTCACAGTACCACCAGTACGCATCTCGAAGGTAAAAACACAGATGTACATGATCGCGCAGTATCTCTTCAGGAAGAAGAGCCACAAAACGACCATAACAATCCGACAACGCCCGGTCCAACAGTTCAGGGTTCACACGAGGGTGCTTTTGCAAGTACTTCCTTCGATACCCAGAAACAGAAGAGTCAACATCTGATGAAGAAGCATCCAGAGATACTGTGCTCTTAGGCAAGTGAATTGAGACATGACTTGTCAGTGGAGAAGGTTCCACAAATTCAGTCTCATCAAAACCTGTAGAGGGAACAGCGACGTGATCGACGTGTGTGTCCGATACTTCACTGCCTTCTGCGGCTGCTGTCTTTGAGCTTTCACGTGTCTCCGAAACCAAACCAAGAGCACGCTTCAGATGTGCGCACAGCGCATCGGCGGAACTTTGCTCGCCGGAAACGCCCGGAAATAAAGAGCCAATGGTCATCGAGGAAACACTGTACAATTAAAATGCAACAGAGCCACCATTAGGTCTAAAATATAACGCGCAATATATATAACGTATATACGAAAGCTTTAAATTAGAACATACAGTGAGACGTAGATTCAAAGTGTAGTCACAACCTTTATCGCGCGCAATATATCGTTTGACGGATATTACGGCAATATAAAACTGGTGATGGAACGAACGCTACATTATTCAAATATTTTCTACCGTAGAGGTATCGTTGTTGAGAAATGAAGCCAGCTTTGGCACCGCTATCGACGCGAGCGCGCCACGACACTACACAACATCGGCACGAGGAGATACTCTATCTACCGTGCCGCACACGGATTCCACAAACTATTGAGCCTTATATACACAAAAAAGCGGAACTATCGGATATTGCTGCAAGCACTATGGTACCGTCTTAGCCACATAGCACTGTTCTTCCATAGCTTTTGCGCAGCGCAGAATAACCCACAAAAAAAAAGAATATGAGAAGGGAACAGCCCGATCATCTTAGAACTACAGCACTAAGTCGGCAGTAGCTTATGCTCGGTCTTTCTCACTCTGGGATCGACATATCCTAAAGCAGCATTCTAGTTAGATACTTATTAGGTACTTAGATACCAAAATAACGTCAATATGACTCTATATCCATTTACTGGTCACGAAACAGGACACGTTCGTATATTATAGCGTAGCCCTGGGCAGTGGTACGCCTCCAGGGCTTACCTTTACCCAATCCCTGGCTGATGACTATGACTTTTCGCACAGTATAACGCCACAGCAGCAAAACCAGACACACACATCTCTTAAACAGAGATATTCTACCGCAGGAAATGCAACAATACAACTTAAAACTAAAACCTTAAAACTGAAATGTCCACATGGACTATGTATAATATATTGCTTAAAACGCAAACGCATAATCAAAAGCTTCTTGCCAATAAGGGAATTGCTCCAAACAACATAGATATAGCTTACTTCACGTGTTCTTGGTGACTCTTGTTGTCGAAAAAGTCTTTACCTTTAGACAAACGAATATGCCGCATCGCAAGCGCATCAATGTACAGCTTAGCAAGCTTCATACTAGTGATGAGAGTAATCTTGTTGTCAACGGCAGCACGACGCATCAAGTAACCGTCAGACACCCTGTTAGGAATCAAACCGCTGGCAGCATTTATGAAAAGATCGATAACGCCACGCTTGATCAGAGTTACCGCATTAGGCTCACGACCTGAACTAGGCTTATATACAGGCATAAGACGCCCACGACGGCGCCCCTCACTACCGTTCAACAAATCCTCAGGAAAAGTGTCCTCAAAGAAATCAAGACTCGACGCTAGTAACGAATGCACATCCAATTTATAAGAATCAGTAGAATCAGACACAGAAAGCTCTTTAATACGAGATATAAACTTGTAAGTGCCTTCAGTAGCGTACACGTCAAAACCAAGCTCTAACATCGTCTCAACCTTACGAGATATTAAAAACTTGTCCACGTCATTCTCAAATGATATCAATACTGCACGAGTTGGTAACCGTAAACCACTAGAAATCATTGCCTTTAGAAGAGCCTCATACTTGTTGGAACCAAAACCAACAACCTCACCAGTAGATTTCATATCCACGCCAACCACAGGGTCGGCCGGAGACAAACGGTCAAAAGCAAACACTGGCACTTTCACTGCAACGTAGTCAATATCCATCATCTGGATGTTCTGTACACGTGCCGGACTCCCTACCATCACACGAGTTGCCTGATCTACGAAGTTCAGGTTCAATGTTTTATAGATGTATGGCAGAGTACGCGACGCACGGAGGTTGCACTCGATAATCTTAATCTCGTTGTTCTTGCACAGATATTGCACGTTGAATGGACCACTGATGTTCAGGTAACGTGACAACTTCTGTGTGATTTTCTTCACGCGACGATGAGTTCCTACGAAAATGTGCTGAGCTGGCAGAATCAATGTGGCGTCACCGGAGTGGGTACCGGCATGCTCCACGTGCTCACTTATCGCATAGTTCAAAATTATACCCTGAGAAGCCACACAATCAACCTCAACCTCATTGGCACGCTCGATGAACTTAGATATAACCACGGGATGCTCACGGTTTACAACAGCAGAAGCCTGGAGGTACTTTTCCAACTCCTCAAAAGAAACTATAACACGCATAGAGGCTCCAGACAACACGTACGATGGGCGGACGAGAACGGGGAATGATACCTTGTTGCAAAATTGTTTTGCCGCCTCGAAAGATGTGAACTCCTCCCAAGATGGTTGATCGATACCGAGCACATCACATAACTGTGAAAATTTGTTACGGTTCTCACAGCGGTCAATAGATTCTACGCTAGTACCTAAAATCGAGAGACCCAAACTATGCAACTTGCAAGCCAAGTTGTTGGCAGTCTGACCTCCCACAGAAATCACGATACCCATCGGACGCTCAAAACGGTATATTGCATCAACCACCTCAACAGTCAACTCGTCGAAATATAACCGGTCACTCACGTCATAATCAGTTGAAACGGTCTCGGGGTTGCAGTTAACAATCACGGCAGAGTGTCCTAAACTCCGAAGCGCTTTCACGCAGCTTACGGCAGACCAATCGAATTCGATACTAGAACCGATACGGTAGGGACCACAACCAAGGACTATAATGGAAGAACCTGCGGGACCAGATTTCTCACCTAGAGGACCACACGGGGTCACATCATCCTCTATTCCGTTGTAGGTTAAGTAACAATAGTTAGTCTTCGCAGGGTACTCAGCAGCAAGCGTATCTATAACTTTTATTACAGGAATGACACCCAGAGATTTGCGGCGATCGCGTACATCGTCCTCGGTTACGTTCGCGCCAATCATACCCCGGGCAATCTGTTTGTCGCTGAAACCATACACCTTGTAACATAGAAGCTTGCTACGAGTAAATTCAGAAACCGAAGACATATTGGTGAGTTTACCCGAAAGGACGTGGATATGATGCAACCTGTTTAGGAACCAGGGGTCTATGCGGGTTAAGGAGTGAACGTCAGAAACGCTCATTCCCAGTTCAAAAGCGCGAGCAATTGCTGCCACATGATCAGGAGTAGGATGGCTCAGTGCTTCGACAGTGCAATCACGGCTGGCGTTTGACATTACGCCGCTGTTGAAACCTGTAACACCATCTCCAGCCATGCGTAATGCCTTCTGCATAGCTTCCTCAAATGTGCGACCAATAGACATCACCTCTCCTACTGATTTCATGCTGCTTCCTAGATACTTGTCCGCGTATTCAAATTTACGTAGGTCCCACTTGGGGATCTTTACAACGATGTAGTCAAGGCTGGGCTCAAAGCAAGCGGTTGTGACCAAAGTAATCGCATTACGCATTTGAACGAGGTCAAAACCCAAAGCAATACGCGCAGCAAAGTATGCCAATGGATAACCAGTAGCCTTAGAGGCGAGAGCCGAACTGCGGCTCAAACGCGCATTTAGCTCCACGATGAAATAGTCATCGTTATCCGGGTTAACCGCAAATTGAACGTTGCACTCACCTACTATACCCAAGTGACGTACAATCTTAAATGCAATCTCGCGGTACTTATACAGCTCCACATTGGTCAGAGTCTGAGCAGGGGCCACAACGATCGAATCTCCCGTATGAATGCCAAGAGGGTTGAAGTTCTCCATGCTCGCAGGGGCGATACAGTTGTCGTTGTTGTCTCGGATAATCTCGAATTCAATCTCCTTCCAACCGTTTAATGCCTTGTCAATATAAACGAAGACACCGGGTGTATCTGACATATCGGGAGATTTGGATTCATCACGATTCGTAGAACCATCCGTATCTTGCGTTGTGCTCTGCAAAACGACGCCATCCCGTAAGAAACTTGCAGTGAAAATGTTAGACAAAATCACACGCAATTCGGCCTCGTCGTTAGCCAAACCCGAACCGAATCCTCCCAATGCGAAATTCGTGCGCACAAGCACGGGATAGCCAAGCTCTGCTGCGGCAGCGACGCATGATTCGACATCAGTGCCCACCCTAGACGGTGCGCAACGCTCACCTATCTCAGCCATTTGTTGGTTGAATAACGCACGGTCCTCAGTGTTTATAATGGTTTGGATGGGCGTACCTAGCACCTCACAGTTAAACTTAGACAGCACACCGGACTTGTAAAGCTCAATACCGCAGTTCAACGCCGTCTGGCCACCGAAACTGCACATGATACCATCCGGACGCTCCTTCTCAATAATTCTCGAAACGAACTCCGCAGTGATAGGGTGGAAATAGACCACATCAGCCAGACCGTGGTTAGTCTGTACCGTAGCAACGTTAGGGTTTACCAAAATAACTTCTGCTCCTGATTCTTTCAATGCCTTTATTGCCTGGGAACCACTGTAGTCAAATTCACCGGCTTGACCAATGGAAATACCGCCACTGCTCAACAGCAAAATACGTTTCCATTGCACGTGAGGAGCGATGCCGCGGATGTGCAGTGGAATCGAATGGTGTTTACCCAGGCTGTGGATAAAGTCGCGCATCAAAAACGTAGTGTCGGTAGGTCCTCCGCTAGCCTCCGGATGGAATTGTAAACTGAACCATGGGTTAACCATGTGAATTATTCCCTCGACACAACCGTCGTTTGCGTTAACAAACAGTGTTGACCAGTCTGGCGCTAGAGTATCCTCGTCGATTGCGTATCCGTGATTTTGGGAAGTCATGTAGCACTGAGATGTCCGCAAGTCAACACAAGGCTGGTTAAAACCACGGTGACCATAGCGCATCTTGTACGTACTTGCTCCAGCGGCAATACCCATTAGTTGGTGTCCCAGACATATACCAAATATAGGGGCGGTGCGTTCCATCGCCTTGCGCAAATTGGCAATTGTGTCTTTCACATTATTTGGGTCTCCGGGCCCATTGGATATCACCAAACCATCGTAAGGTATGCGTGTGAAGTCAAAACTGTACGGCACCACAAGCAAACGCACTTGAGGCGGTGACATGCGCAATATCAAACGGATGATGTTGCTTTTAATACCGCAGTCGACAACTACAACGAGAGTAACGTCTTTAAGACCAAGCGATGATGAAAGGCCTCCACGTCGCGACCCTCTGTGTGTATCATGTACTGGTAAGTCTGGATAACCATTGAATTTCTGCTTAGAGGCGAACGCCGCGGACACGTCAGCGACGTGACAAGCACCAGGATCACGAGCGAGCATATCAGTGAGCTCGCTTGACGTGAATTCGAATGAGGAGACATATTTTTTCCCGTCAATATCACGCATCGTGTAGAGTACTGGGTGTGTAGTGGGAAGGGTTTCTAACAAATCCGGATGGTTTGTGTTGTAAAATGATGATACGCTCAGCAAGCGCTTGTCTGCTGAAGCCGTTGCAGTCCTTCCTATAATTATGCGAGCTAAAGTGGAGCCGCATGTGCGAAGGTGCTTAGTCAGTGCCCTGGTATCGACTCCCGCTATCGCAGGTACGCGCTCTTCGCGAAGCCAGGCTGACAGTGATTTACACGATGTCCAATGTGATTCGTGTGTTGTATAATCACAACAAACCAAACCGTTTACATGGATCTTTGAGCTTTCGAACCACTTCAGAAGACCAAATTCGTCCTGCACGTATTTAGCCAAAACAAAAAAGATCAACGGACCTGCTCGTTGGAAGGTACACCTGTGTTTCCGATGGAAGGGTACGTCATGACCAAGATTTGTCCCAGGAAACTAGGATCGGTGAGAGCTTCTGCGTATCCAACCATGGCTGTAGAAAAAACGACCTCGCCTGTATACGCCAAGTTCGCAGGGTCTGTGTAGTCGTATGACTCATCGACGTATCCAAACGAGAAACCGTAGAACTCGGTACCATCCTGGAGAAGAAGCTTCGCAGGGATATACGTGAACAGCTCTGAATGGCGTCAAATTCGTAATGTGCAAACTGACCTTCTGGCCGCCAATGACGGTCGTCTGTACCGTTTTCGTTACCCATATTCCCCAAAAAATGATTATTATGCAACAATAATTTTCAGTACTAAAAAGCAGGCCGGTAACTGTCCTTCCCCTGTGCTGGGACCAAAATATGGACAGAGCTAGGGGCCGTCAACGCGGCTAACTAAACTTCAAAAGGCTCACACAGTCAAATCACGCTGCACTTCACCAGTATTCTACGGCTACCCAGGTCAAAAGTGTGAATTCTAACTAAACCACGAGGTCATCGCCCGACGAATAAAATACTAGCCCACGTGTCGTGATGATGAAGGATCGCTTAGTGAAGCCCATGAGCCCCGAAAGTCTATATATAGATAGAATGTTGAGCTACACACTCCGGACAGTGTGGCTGGATTTTATTGGTGGACAAATATTCTCCTATTTATTACAACGGTGCGCAAACCAAAAAAAAAACGTCAGGGGAACCACTAGCCGATTGCTTTTAGGACTTCGTGTTGTCATAAAAGTGATTATGGTAAATCAGTCATACTATATAATTGCACAAAGTGGCCAATCATCGCGTACGACGTAGACGTGATCCGCAGCGCGTAGTCGACACTGAAAAGTTGCGTCACGGAGTACACATGATGCAATGGCCCAGATAAATGCATAATACTAGATCGACATGCTTCCCATGTGCCTTCGAATGTGACATCTGAGTCACGCATAGTGATCTTTAAAAGGCTACAGGATAATTACAGACAGAGCCAGCTCAGCCCACTGCAGCACCCAAGGTACGTAAGAGTTCACTTTAGTGGGAATGCATAACATATATAGCCAATGAGGCGGAGATATTATGTCAAAGAGGTCCCCGGCTCAGCTAGCCACTGACTCCGTTGTGGCACTGACACCACATTTCGCCGCATTTAAGGAGTGCCCAGTGGCACAGAATTCCAACATATAAACTAACCGCGACATAAATTTATAACAATAATATTGGAACGCCAAAGAGGAGACAGAAATTATACGTGTCTGGGCTGCCAAACATCAAAGTCGATGTGTGGCGTGGGATCCGAAATTCAGCGGCAGCTATAAGCCGCAGCGTTACCGGTCAAGCAGAACTCGGAATCACGAGACAAAGAACCTACTAGACGAATTGTAAAAATGAAGGATCCCGCGGGAACAGTTACACAGCCATCTCCCTTACCCGATGGTGACGAGACAGTACGGCCGGTGGTTTTGCCTGGCGTAACCGTATCTACGGCTGCCAATGGCAACGGTACAAGCGTTAAGCCGGAAAATACCGTCAAAAATCTCGTGCCGAAATCTCAGGATGCGCTGGATGTAAACACTCTGAGGCCTACCGAACGACAAAGCGGGAATCAGGCGCAAAGTCGCCAACTCCAAGGCCTTCTAGATCACACAAATTCGGGATTAAACGCTGCTACATCTGAAACTATGCAAGACAGATCTGATACGCCAGGCAGACCCCGAAGTGTGCATTTTGTGCAGAGTGCCGACGCACACCTAGACGCTGAAAACAAATACCAGGTACAACGTATGATAGGGAATGGATCATTCGGTGTTGTACATGAAGCGGTACACTTGGAATCTGGGAGGAGGGTCGCCATCAAGAAAGTTCTACAGGTACGTCACGTAAGTTACATACGAGAACGGCTGCAGGACCCACAATTTAAAAACCGAGAACTGAGCATCATGATAGAACTCTCCCATCCCAATATTGTAAGGATGTTCGACTACTATTACACCGAAACAATAAGGGACAAAGACAGGCAACGGTATCTCAATCTAGTAATGGAGTTCGTCCCGGGCACAGTACACAGGGTCATGAGATCGTACTTTAAAAGGTACAACCAAATGCCCCTGAAACTTGTTAAGGTATACGCATTCCAGATGTGCAGGGCGTTGGGATACTTGCATGCCATTGGTGTATGTCACAGAGACCTCAAGCCACATAACCTGCTAGTGGATCTCGAGACAAACGCACTCAAGCTTTGCGACTTCGGATCAGCTAAAAAACTGCAGACAGGGGAGCCTAGTGTCTCATACATATGCTCGCGATTTTACAGGGCACCCGAGCTTATGCTAGGAGCAACCGAGTATACCACAGCTATTGATTCGTGGTCTATAGGATGTGTCATAGCCGAATTACTGATTGGAAAACCCATGTTTGCAGGAGACACCTCAATTGACCAACTGGTGAAAATTATACAGGTCCTGGGAACACCAACGATAGAACAGATGTACGCCATGCACCCCAACTATCAAAATGTAACGTTCCCAAACATTAGACCAGCAGATCTTACCAAGGTTTTCCCCAAGAATACACCACAAAATGCTATAGACTTCGTTTCTAGCTTCCTGCAATATGACCCGAAGGAACGAATGAAGCCTCTCGAAGCGCTCGCGCATGAGTTCTTTGACGACATTTTGAACAACAATACGGATGTCCAACTGCCTGAGAACCTCCTAGAATTCACGAAGCAGGAGCTGGATCTCATGTCTGAGGACTGTAAACTGAAACTCGGTATTGTGAACTAACTATTAATGGGTAAATAGTTCACTAATAAGCTATACTATAAGAGTGCCTGGGTGATCAGTACCTTAGAGATACGCAAAATTGACTTAACAAACATGGCAGAGGTGAAAACCATTACACGATTTTCTCCAAGGTTTCAATGTAGTTCAGCGTGTGGCGAAGCATTTCCTTAGACGGTATGCTCGTGCCTCCAGCGTCACTCTTGGCAAAAGTGACACGCCCATCCTCCACTTGCCACTCCACTGAACGGGTGGCTGCGAAAATTATTAACCTTACAATTCAATAACGAACCATTAGTGGCTTTGTTTTTCTTGTAGCACTTTATAAAAACTTCCAAATCCTGTTGAGAGTCAGCAAAATGTGCCTGTCACCCACCCCGATGTCGCGCAATTTAAGCATAGCCACAGCAGCATCCACACTCAGACTAGGGTAGGCGCTCTCCATAGCTGCAGCAATCTTGCCCCGTGCAGTATCAGCCAGCTTGTCGGCTAAGGCATGGTAGTATACGCACGACGCTGTATGGCGCATGTCAATCAAACGTGTTAAGTTTCCCTCCATCATGCTGCGTTCCAGCTCTACAACGTACGATATGTTCGCGCTATAGCGCAGATCCACAGGTAACAGTTCGAGAAGCATGTAAAAATCCCCTATGCGATTTTCAGTCAACAGGTGTAGCAAACGGAGACCCAAGATTACGTCGGCCCGTGAGCTAGGCGCCAGATGCTGCAAAATGTTAATATAAGACACATACACTTCCTACATCTGTGTAGTCAAAATAAAATGGGTGTAAATATGAATAAAAACCCTCGAAGCCTCCAACGCCTTCGAGTGTCAATGAAACCAGCGCACCGATCTCGTACACCTCCCGCGCTAACATTAGAAAACGGTCGTTACAAGGGTCACTGTTAATCTGGTACTGCGTTAGTTCCTCTTTCAACGGGTCCAAGAGATCTTCACAGCGCCTGAGGGCGCTCGGATCCACGGCGGCATCCGCAAATGCCCGTTGCAGAGCTTTAACTCTCTGCTCAAGATCGGTAATAGTCATGGCTTCATTTGTATCTAAGCCTAGAAGCATATATAAAGCTTCGCCGTTACGCCTGCCGCGGGCCGCCGCGCCACCTTTGACGCCACCCAGCCCGCTGTAACATAAAACGGGCAAGTAGACAATCAAATATTAGAAACCAAATTAATAGTCAACAATCTATTGTCTAATTTTCTAAAATAGCTGCAGAATTTGACTTTACAAAGCCTATACACACCGCAGAGGGTCAGCAACGAAATGAACCTAAATCGCCGCGCTACCGATATCGCAACAGATGTTCTCCGTATGATATCAACAATCCCAGTAGCCAAAACACTAGTTAGTGACTATCAAGCGAGCGGAGGCAAAGGCTGACGACAGTTAGGACATTCCAGTTTTATGGATGCCCACTCCTTCAGACATGTGCTGTGGAACAGATGGTCACATGGAGTTATGCTCCAATCACTGCGTATAGATGATAGGCAATAGCTAAAACCCACCCTTTCGAATGCACGATGACGTTCATGCAAATTACACATTCCTGAGGATCGTCCTGCATCAACTGTGTCCATGGGCGCACATAAGTGTAAATTTGTGGTAAGATAGACCATGATGCGAAGCATCGTGCACCGCGGAGGCGCTGCAGACACATCAGAATCAGTTGCAAAAATGTCACCAGCATGATGTATGCTCCCACAGTACGGTTGGTACGAGCCGTATCTGTCGAAAATACATCATATGTGAATGCGCTATCCTTTAGCATAAATACGTAATACGGCAGAAACAAACGGCATAGCGATACCACAATGATAGATGACATGTTGAGTGAACTGCAACGACCTCGCCAAGCATCCAGAAGGATCTGTGGCACCCATGATAGATAGGTAAGTATAAAGATCCAGGGACTTCGGATGTAATAAAAGTACCACCCTAACGCTTGGAGAAACAGGAAACTAAAGTAGTAGCGATAAAACAAAGCGAAACGTTTTTGAGTTGCCTCCCAACCCTCACGGATTTGTGCCGCGTGGTTAGCACGCCATATCAAAACCAAAAAACTGTGATCCACAATTCCAACCAAAAAAAACTTGATGAATATTGCGAAACAAAAACACGTGATGCTTTTGACAAAAATAGAACGGTGGTACAACAATATGAAAATTTCAAGCAATTCTTGATAAGAAAACATACTGAACCCAATAATACTTATAGTCTGGCCCTGTGCGCCCTCATCCACGTGCCTCAACTGCTTGCACAATACGAAAGTCTCTAACAACGACTTCAGGATGAATATGACGGAAAAACGATAAACCAACACATCGCCATATGACATGTCTCGTTCCTGACCTTTGAATGTAATCGTGACACCGCAATCCGTCGAATTTATAGAACCATGCATAGTATCTACCAACTGCTGGTCTTCACCGTCCGCGCTGGTATCCGCCACTGTCGCTACCGATGTGGGCGCCATGTTCTCAGCCACGCTGACAGCCGGGGGCGGCGGTTCCCTGTAGAGGGCATTAAAAACGTTGTACTTAGAACCATCCAAATTCGAAAGGTGCTCAAAGTCCTTAAGTAAAAAACGCCTAATCCCCAAGATGTAGAATTCGTCAAGCTGACGTAATGAAACCTGGCTCAGACGGGGCAGGGGCTGACGTAAAAAGGTGTTGAAGGTACATATCTCCCCCGATGATTTACCGGAATACTCGTCCCAAAAGTCGAGCTTTAGAGCCTCTGTGGGCCAGTAATGCTTCAGAGGGGCACGTGAAGTGAAAGGTCCCATCACAGTTGACATGCCAGACAGGTACAGCTTATCAATGTTGCTCGTAAATTCCAGACCAGAAAATCCAATGTAGACACGGCGCTCTTTCTTGAAGGTGTTTTTGCCGTACTTTGGTGATTTCCAAAACTCCAAACGGTTACCATCAGGCAACTCAAGACAAAGTAACAAATAGACTTGTTTGAAAGAGTCAACAGCCATATCACGGAAAATCACAGTAGCGTGCATAGTTCCTGTTACACAACCACCAGCCATAGCCTGTTTGCCCCCATTTATATCTTTCAGAGTACGGGACGTTTCGCATACCTTGTACTCCCCAGTGTAATAAGTGCTGAACGTCCCCAACTGCCGCATTGCGTTTTCGTCGTTACTTCCAAACCCATCACGGTCAAACGTCTGCATATTGAACAACACGTTAAACATTAAAATAGATCCTAGCACGGACATTAAAGAAATAAAAACCATCAATCTGTGATGGTGGTCTTCCTCATCTTGACTGACGGTTGTCACCGTTGTAGCTGGCGTTGGTGGTGACGGTGATGCAGTTTCCTCCTCTCTACGCATCAGCGAGTTTATAAGAGTGTCGGAGTTTACATTTCCCGTAGTACCAGCCATTGTCGATCAATCACATGCGGCGATACCGATGCTTGTTGCTTTTAACAAAACTCACGCCCAAATATGTGCCAAGCACTGACAACTGCTCATCGTTGAGCTGCAATGAACCCTTCTCCGCTTCTTCAAGGTGTGAAGAGGTTACTGGTAGCTATGTGAAAGTTGTAAGCGAAAACACACCGGGATCCGATTTCCGCGACGCAATGGACGTATCTAAGTTCAATACTCTTGCCAATGTGCCTCGTCTGAGATACTTCCACCATCTGAAACCAATAATAAGATGAAATGTGTTGCATATGGGTTATTACCTACAACACTCGAGCGCTGATCCTACAGTTGGGAAGTGCGACACTCGGAAACCCTTGTTAGGGCGAGGTTGGCCTCGACTGCCGATACGGAGGTGAGTAGCTCCCCACCACTGCTTTGTAGCTCGGCCAAAATGCGTGTAGACTGCGATAGGATTACAAGGCTAACGGGGAACATATTGCAAAGGGACAGCCCGCACGAAGCAAAAACGACAATCACGAAGGAAGTAACCTACCCATGGAATGGGACGTAAAAGCCCGTCAAGATGTCCTATAGTAGATGAGTATGTGCAAAAACAAACGACGCATGATTAAAACGTCGGTTTCGCGTCGATTCTGCAACAGCCTCGCCGCCGGCAGAAGTTATCCGCTACTACCAACAAGTAGATTAAATGAAATTACGCATTACCTATTGTAGATATTACAAGGTGTTTCGACTGTTAAAATGCTTCAACATTTACAAGCCGTCGAAAACAGCCACACATCAGAGCGCTAAGCTTGATTATTATCCCTAAAAGAGGTCACACATCTCTGCTTTGCTCGTCAATAGACAGTAACGTATTAATGCGTATTTTTAATTATTAGTTTACGATTAAGAGTTAGTAGAAGGTGAGTTGTGTCCGCGCGGATCACTCCTTGGATCCTTCGAGGGCGTTGGACAGTATGTACGCGCCGCTCTCGTCTGGGCGGTAGACAAAACTCTCACCATCGCACGACACCACCAAACGATCGTTGTTGAAAGAGACAGAAACCTGCACAGATAAACGGGGAAGACGAATGCGTTGCGACTCAGACCACTCAGGAGCACGACCGAACAAAAACACATCAGAACATGTAGCAACGGCCAAACTAGAACCGCTCTTGTTCCAACACAAACATCTCACGTGCGGCAGACACTTAGAGTCACGTTCCAAGCTCAAAGTCTTCAACAAATGAAACTTGCGTTCAACCAACTCCCAAATCTTAACGCAACCATCAGTACCACCTGTGGCAAGCAGACAAGGGCGACCGTTACTGGAACTGTCTAAACAACCCTCCCCAACAGCAAATGATAAACTGCTTACTCCGCCATAGTGTCCCTGGAACTGGACAGTTTCGAACGAGCCCTCGCTAAATATGACACTAACGCTACCACCAGGGGAGCCTACAGCACACAATAACTCACCGTTAGGGGAAACACCCACACTCATACAACTTATAGATTTCTGAACATCCGGCTTCTCGTGGTACAATGACAATTGACACCCAGGACTGGAAGACGGGTGCCTGTAGTAACAAACAGAATTGTCACTCATTACAACGACCAAAAGACGCCCGAATTTAGGGGGAGCCCATGACAACAAAACGGGGTCGCAACGAGTGCTGATGCTGCTCACTACTCTCAAACTTGCAGAATCATCCGGAGAGCCGTCCTTTTCCAAAACCACGATCTCAGGACCGCTTTGCGATCGACAGCCAGCCACTAGGTATTTGCAGTAATAGTCATACTGCAGATCCTGTAGCTGTACCTTTTTCTGTAGAGTGTGATTCAGATTCACAGAGAGCGAGCTGGCAACTGCGCTCATCCTGGCAAATGACCGTAGTATACAGAGAGACCACAAAATCAATATTAAAAGATTGCGACTATGCCACTGCGCGAAAAACGCAATTAAATAGGTGGCAAATATTTAATACACTTGGGAAAGGAACCTCAAGTATCAGGTAAATGAGCCCACAGACAAGGTGGGCGACTAGGGCCCTGCTGCATAAGCAATCAGGCACACACTTTTACAAAGTCGTCACAAATATTTTTGCATTATCTCATACTTGTTGAGCACGTG